GGAGTGCTGAATACAGGATGTATAGGATAAAACTGTAATTTCTAACCAACAGCACATTCATCCTTATCACAAGCCATATTTGAATTCTTGTTTCTGACACAGGAAGCCAAACATTTTAAGGCAGTGAGTCACTGACTATTTAGAGTCTTTTCCTGCCTTCACCAGGGGGACCTCATCTTATTGGCCAAGTGCAAGGGCACAGCTCTTATTGCAAAGGCAGAGGATTATCGTTGTTTTCCCACATAGTTAATTAGTTGAGAATCATCTGTTTCCTCTGGGAACCGCCAGCATGCATCAACTCCTTTATCTTTGCCCTGAGGAACGGATTAACAGGTATTAGTGATACAGACTGGGAAATGCCTTGTCTTCCAGTATCTCTCTTTCTCATTCTCTCTCTATTCAGCATATCAACAAAACAAAATGATATCCTTTGTTGTGTCTGTCTTTATGGTACAGTTGATTGCAGATTTAACATTTCCCAGAGACAGCTTTAAATAGATCAGTAATGGGTCCTTGGCTTGACAGTTTCACCTGACAGAGGTAATTATGCCCAGTTATTACAGCAAAGCTTGTAACTGCATTAGTGACAGCTTTAATTAGTGAGTGAAAACAATGTGTGCCCTGCCTCCTGATTACATCCATTGTTAATGCTCACAGCGCCTCAGTGTAGGCTGACATCTGCAGCCCTTTCTCCATGAGTAGTGGTCTCCGCCGTCGACAGCGCACATGGCTAAAGCACAGCCTGTTGCTAAGCAATGGGAGAATAAGATGTGCCAAGATTACAAACAGCTTTGCTTTTATTGAAGCATGTGCCATCCATGTGGACATTTTCTCTGAGATATGATTGTTGAGTGACCTTGTTTCATCCCTGCACTTCTGATCAAACACAAAACTAACCAAAAGTGTTGCCATGGAAACCAAGAGCAGTCCAGACGTAGGCTAAACAGAGATAACGGTTAGTTTTTTTCTACTCTTATTTCTGGAGACCATTCCTGCAATATGCATGTCTCTGATTTTTTTTGAGCCAGAGGGAAGTGAGACTGCAAGAGGGCAACACTTGACCCCTGATGAGCTAAACACCTCATTTAGCTACAGTTACCTGCGTCAGATGCACTTCAATTTGACTGATTTATTTACCACTAATACATTATTAACAAAGACTTTGAAGCGAAACGGCTGTCCCACTGTTTACCTGCATAATCAACACCAGATTTAAAACAATTACACTTCAGCCCATTAACACCTTTAAGTAAGAAAATGAACCATAAATTCATCTGGGTGCTTATAAACCATTCAGTATTTTACATTGCAATTACATTAAAGCAGCAATATTCAATATCTTTATAATAACAATCATCAAGTGACAATGTGAAAACAATGTGAAATCGTAAAAAAGGGCTCGCTCGTAGTGATGAACCTAGATGAAAGCTCTCCTTGGCTTTATGTTAAAGACCCACTGAATGCACTGCATTTGCTATTTGTTCTGCAAGGCATTGTGGAATGGAATTCTATGGCAACCAGGACTGACAAGCGATGCGAAAAGTAAAAGAGGTGGGGCAGGAAGTTTAGTCTTTACTTGCTGTTGATAAATGTCCCTTGCATTCAAGATTACATATACAAAGAAAAACAAAGTGCTGTTTGGCATAAAGTTGCATACATTGTTGGGAAATTCATACGTTGCTTTTTTACACAATGTTTGCAAACAAGCAGGTCACCTGCTACCTTGCTACCATGATGAGCGATGAGCGAGAAGTGATGGAGGTGGAGAATTTGTTCGGTATTCATCGTTATGGAGATTTATACTAAGTTTAAGGTCATTGTTTAACTGTCCAGCCAGTAACGCTACAGTTTTGGTCCACTCTCACTGCTCTTATTGCGTTATTTTCCGCTACCCACAGACACTGTTAGCAACTATCTGGTGAACACAGAGGAGCATTTAGCAGCTAAAGAGTCAGATATTTCCCTCAGGAGTCGGTAGAGACCAAAAACAGAACTAAAAGAGACTGAATATTAGACTTACATTTGCCAGTTGGTCAAAACACGACTCCAAATGAAAGATCATGTTGATCTGTAACTTCTGGATGTGTAAATAAGGAACTGGTTGATAACAAGTTTGCCATAACCACTTAAAAGGGGATCATACCTGAACATTTCCGCTGCCTCGAGTGGCCAAAAAATCAGTTACTTTAAGGTTTAAAGACACATTCAGAAATGCTTTGAGAGTAAGAGTAATCAGCTGCAGATCTAATGTGTGCAGCCAGCATGAAGTCTAGCTGCATCCAATTGTGTATGTTGTGTAAACCAGTCAGCTCAGAGACAAGAGTGTGTGTTTACCATGTCAGCAGAGAAGGCAGGTGGAGAACAGAAAGAGCCTGCTGTATGTAAACATCATTTACATCGGTGTGATCAGGCTTTAAACCTGAAGAGATCACACTGATAATCCTCCCAGGCGCCGAATGAGGTTAATAGCTTTCAGAACACTGGGTCTGTTGTAACTCCATATGTTATCATTTGTGGAACATGATCGGGTCATCTCAGGCGAAGAAATGGCTTACTGGTTGCTAAAGTGGTGGTTACAAGAGCCATAGTCACTTAACAACGTTGCCACTTAATGATTAATAAGTGGTGGAGTCAGGGATTTCTGCCTGCCTTGACTGGCAGTTTTGCAGAGATAGAATGTGAGTTTCTCTCACATTTTTAAATATTTTAATATATGCTGATGAATTATAGAATAGGAAAATAAATTTGGTAACTAATGTTTGTCCGTCCGGAGTTAACGGGCAGGCTGAATTATATTTTTTGCAGAGCTCGAGACATCGATCTGTACCAGAAACCCCATCTGAGCAGGTACACAGAGACAAACAAGAGAAGGCAAGGCCACCTCAGATTTGCCACGGAGCCAAAACAGTCAACGAAAGGCCGCAAGCAGTTGCCAGGCAACACTATCCCTATCACAGCAGGAAGTGGAGTCGAACAGCACATTAATCACTTTCAGCTCCATCTCACAAGAGTCACAGTGCTACAATGCTCTGGTCAGACAGAGGTTTCACAGTGTGTTCAGTCATACCTGTATTTCCTGGTACTGTACTTGAGGCCTAGTGAGAAAGAGATGTCTCCAGCAGGTATATTTACATAATTTATGGAATACATTTCTGAGAATTAATATCATATTAGTCCATTTTTGTCCCACTTTATTTCTCAAGTCTGGGTCCAACATATGAGGAAGTTTACTGTTTAAACACTGGTGGTTTTCAGAGGTAAACAAACCTGTTTTAAATGATTTATCTTGTGCTGGGAGAATATATTTGGCATCAAATTTCCTTGAAGCAAATCATGAGGGATGTCTGCCTGCAGTTCAGCCTGCTTCAAATCTGTTTTTTTTTCACCTGCCAAAGAACATCTTTTCAAGGCAATTCCAGCTCCAACAGAGTTTCTGCAATTATATCCTCTCTGCCATGCCTGTCTGTCTCACACAGGTGGGTGACAAGACAAAAGAAGAAGCATGAACCAAGTGGCAATCGAAACACAATATGGCTCATCGATAATGACACCGTCTGACCAATATTGAAATAATTCCACAGTGCTGATCACCAGGTCTCCTGTTGAGAGGGTCGCACCCATTCATATATAATGTTATAATTAGGTAATAATTCATATAACATTTAAATTATCCTGTGTCTCCTGTTGCTATAATCTTCTTTTATTAAATGATTTCTGGTGGCATTCTGAGTAGGAGGCTACGCTGGTGTAGCAGCTTATTGGCAATACACAGGCTCTCACAGCTTTGCCAAAGCCAGACTCGCTGCAGCAGATCTGTGAATTGAGGAAAACCCGAAAAAATCTCAAAAAGCAGCATGTGGGTGGATTCACTTGAGTAAAAAATGACAAGGTTTTCCCCACTCAGTCGGCGCTCATAAACAGACTTCATCAAATACACAAACAGAGTCTGCACAATGAGCAAGAATGGCATGAGCTATGTGAGGAAATAATTGTTGGAAAGCTGGACTGGTTGGTGGCCGCCTGCCTACCTGAAGCACTCATCCACAAAATAATGTACTTGTAAATATTACCTGGGCTAATCAAAAACTAAGAAATTATATGATTTAAGGAGTAGTTTATGTCTCTTGAGTTTTAAAAGGCTGTATGTAGTTTAAACTGAGATGCCAGTGAGATCTGAGTCCATATTTTCTCAAATTGGCTGCCTTTTGTGCATTTTTCAGTTACAAGTCCTGAATACAGAAGACCGTAACTGAAGCTGAATCACCTACAAATACTATCATCTATCAACAAATACCACATGTATTTACTCATTCTCAGCACAGGTATCATTAATCAACCAAAGTCCGGTTTATGAACGGGAACGCATGTGGTGGCAAAATAAACATAGTGGCAGTCGTCAGAACATGTAGTGACTGTTAACATATTCATCTGTCAGATGGTACTGTGAAGATGAAAATGTGTCACAGCTTAGTATGGCCACATTCAGCCACATGTAAGTGAAACCTATGTCTTATTTTACCAGACAAGCGTACAAGAACATCCCACTACCTGGGTGTTTGTCTCACCTCATAGTGCCAAATATTATACATTATACATCCACAGAGGTTCAGGGGACATGATTGTAGCTGTATCACTTGACCAGCATATAAACCTAGTGCATGTGTGTATGGGGGTATGGATAGGAATGAATATTTAGTTTGACCTGCAGTAATGATGGTGCTAGGTGAAAGGTCCAGGGGTCACCAAAAATGTTTTTGTCCTGGTATAAATGTGTTGAGCAAAATTCATGTCAATTTGACCAAGGATGTTGGATTGGATCGTGGACATAATCACTGCTCTTTGACAGAGCTGATGATAATAATAATGAAGATGATATCTACAATGTTATCTCTTATCTTACAGATATACAGCTATTATAAACACGTCTGAATGGTATAGGCCCATAACATTTTCTTGAGCGGTTCCCCTGTTTTCAGCTCTCCCATGGGGGTTTTCAGTTGTGCGTCTTCGCAACGCATCTTCAGTGCGGCCACCTTTGGTAAACAGCTCCTTCTGGGTTTCGGCGCACTACCTCTGCCGAAAACACGTCCACCACTGCAGCAGCAGCGGCAACAGCACGTAGACAGCGGCAGGCCTACGAGGAGCCTCAGTGAAGATTTTCAGCTTACAGACTTTCTCTTTCTTAATTATCTCCATGGCTGCTGATGAGACCCGGCAGGACCTGCTCCAACTGCGCCAATTATCTGCAAAGGACGGATGTGCGTTCGTGTGCATGCTGAGCGGTATGTTCGGTTAGAGGCAAAGACAGCTGATCAAAACAGAAAATCGCTTATCGATGGCTGTCACTAGTTAAAGGGACGTGTGTTGTCTGCTCTTTACGTAATCGTTTTTGCGTAATTTTGCACCGGCTATTGGATGCCGCGTGGACCGGGATTATTTTGGCGAGGATATCTCTTAGTGCTCTCCCTCCTCCCTGCATCCGTTGTTGTCCTCAACAGCAGACACAGACTCATTCAGACGGGGACTATCTGTATGCAGCAACATTGTAAACAGGAGCTGGTTTTAATGAAATCCAACATCGCTGCATCCCGGTTGAAGGTAGGCGTCTCTCTCGGCTCTCCTTCTCCATCTCTCGGCTCACGTTTCCATGTTGTGCTCGTTTGTTTGCGATCAGAATGGTGCAATGCAACGTTTGCACAGATCTTCCACAGACGGACAAGGACACTTCAGAATATGACATAACGTAAACACTTGCGTGATTTCACATGTAGATGTCTTTTATTAATTTGTCCTTCTTTATGTTATAGTGTACAACAGTGTTTTTTTTCTGTGTCTCGGAGGGATAAAGAGAGGAGGAAGAAAGAGAGAGAGAGAGAGAGAGAGGGAAATGGGAAGAGGAAGAAAATCAATGCATGTCTTCCAGGAGTGTGAATGCACATGGGTTATCGTGAGTACCCGGTGTGTGCGTGTGTATTTGTTTTAAAAGGAAGACGCGCATTGTGCAAAGCAGCAGGGGAAAGTTTGTTCTGTATACAATATATGCGTGAGGAGATGAGGAAGACAGGGAGACAGTGGCTACTGTACATGTCATACTACATGCTCACATGGGCGTAGAGGTGGGAAGTAACTAAGGGCATTTACTCGAGTATTGTACACTGTGCACAATACAGATAATTTACTTGAAGCTTAATATTTTATTTTTGGGGATTTTAGATGGAGATATTGCTGTTAATCCACGCTGTGCATTCATTTCAGGCTGTGGCTTCTTTTTTTTCTTTTTTTTTTTGCATATGATGATTTTACTTGTAAAACCGTGGATAAGCTCATTAGATATGACGCAGAGTTTAACCACTCTTTGTTTATTCATGAGCATGCAGGCACATTTAGAAGAGTGTTACCTATGGTTGAGAAATCAGCATTTATGCTTGTCTCTAGTTGACCATATTGGCATGTTTTATATCTTTCAGACATTACTGTTGTAAACATTTAACATCAGCATCAGTTATCTAGTGTTTGTCCCTGTATTAAAAGACTTGTTCAATGTGTGAGTGAGAGAGAAGTTCCTATGTTTTGAAAAGTGGAGGTGTGGCCGCCTTTTTGTTTACATTTGTGTCACAGATTGTGTGTAAAGTACATTTAGTTTCCATTGTTGGGATTTGAATATTTTCCCTCCCTCCACACCATGAATGTGCATAAGTGTCTATATGTGTTTGTTTTTACAAAGCCTGAATCTACTTCTATCTATCTATCTATCTATCTATCTATCTATCTATCTATCTATCTATCTATCTATCTATCTAATATCAAAGTCTATATAAAGCACAATGTACACTTCAGTCTAATAATAATATCTGTTTATTGCCCTTGTTTCTGCTTTTTCCAGCCTTCAATCAGCAATGCCTGGGAATCCTCCAGCTGCTCTCCCATGCTGTTCTTTGAGAAGGGGACCGTAGTAAACCTCTTTGGGATTTAGATCAACTGCTAGCATGTTGCAGCCTTTCATCAGAACAGGTGACGGCCTGTTGGAAACATTACCTCACTGGAGTAAGCGTCAAAGATGGGCCCTCTCCCTCACCCTTTGTATGGCTCTCCTCTGGCTTCCAGGGGCAGCGGGATCTACCCTAAACTGCCACAAGACGTGCATCTGCGCCTCAAACATAGTGAGCTGCTCCAAAATGAATCTGACCACCGTCCCATCAGGTCTACCGCTCTACACTGCTGTACTGGATCTCAGCTATAATGAGATAACACGGCTGCGATCTGAGTGGACCCCAGTCAAGCTTGCGAAGCTCCATAACCTCCTCCTCAGCCATAACGGTCTATTCTTCCTGTCCACAGAAGCATTCATATATGTAAAGCACCTGCGCTACTTGGACCTGTCCTCCAACAACTTGCAGAAGCTTGATGAGTTCATCTTTGAGCCTTTGGTCAACCTGGAGGTCCTCTTGCTGTACAATAACCAAATTTCCCAGATTGACCGCTCAGCCTTTGTCGGTGTGATTAACCTTCAGAAGCTCTACCTTAGCCAGAACCAAATCTCCCGTTTCCCCATGGAGCTGGTCAAGGAAAAGTCCCGCCTGGAGAAACTTAGCCTCCTGGATGTTTCCTCCAACAAGATCAAGATGTTATCCATTGATGAGCTCCAGGTGTTGCCTGCCTGGATTAAAAATGGCCTCTACTTCCACAATAATCCTCTGCTGTGTCACTGTGATCTCTACACACTACTAGCCCACTGGTACATTCGAAAGCTCAACTCCGCTGTGGACTTCAGAGATGACTACACATGCATTCTGCCTGGCCCGCAAAAAACCCAAGTAGGTGTTTTTGAGCTCAGTGGTGAAAACATGAACTGCAGCACATTCAAGGAGGCAGACGAAGAGGCTTTTCTGGAGCAAACACTGATTCTTGGCTGCGATACCAAACACAGGGACATGTTAAAGACCTGGATGATGCCTGGTAATGTGGTGGTGGCACCTGGAAGCAACCAGACAGCCAAAGTATTGCCAGATGGAAGTCTGCAGATTAGTCCTGTGAGGTCTGAGGACTCTGGGACCTACACTTGCTTTGCAATGAGCGAGGTCTTTAATGAGACCATCTATGTGGTGCTGAAGGTTCACAACTTCACAATGCATGGGGGCGGGGAGACCCTGAACACAGCGTACACCACCTTGGTGGGCTGTCTGGCCAGTGTGGTGCTGGTGCTTATGTACCTTTATCTGACGCCATGTCGCTGCTTCTGCTGCCCCAATAAGGGCAAGGCTCGGGGTGAGGACAGCATCCACTCGTCCATGCTTAGTGTGACACCTACCCATGAGGACCCAGCACTCAAGGCAGAGCTGAACAGGCACGTGGCGTTCATTGACTCCAAGGACTTGCAGGGCCAGAACGGCAAGCTTAACCCTAATGGGGACGAGGATGATGATGATCTTGATGCAGAGGCTGGTTCTCTTATGAAGGGGAAAAGGAAGAAGTCAGTAGCAGAGTCCATCAGCTCCGTCTTCTCAGACACGCCCATGGTAGTCTGAGAGGAAACTGGCAAAGACAATGGATGCCACATGACTGGATGATTATGGTACCATATTTTAGTTCATGTAAACTGTGACTATGACCTTGTGGGAGGAAACAGAGGAAGGATGTTCATCTGCAGTTGCTGGCAAGTGGAAATAAGGATCTGAAAGGGAGTAAAAAAACACACAAACTTGCCTTGTTGTCGACACAGACAATGAGCAGGACTTTTCCAGCAATTTAATCTGTAGCACTTAATATTCATACTGTGAAGGAATGGCAGTGTACATGAACAGTGGAAACTACTGAAGTCTTATGGGAGTAAAAAGTAGATGATACATTGTTGATATCAGCACTCAGGAAGTGATAAATTAAAGTGTGGGAAATATGATACAATGCACAGGTTGAAATTAGATTTTACAAAAACATGGTATATACCGAAACCACGGCTGGCTCATAATTGTATTTATTGCAAGGTCTAGAATAGATTGCATCTTGCGTAAACAATAGAGCGTAGATACATTTACCCCTCTTTCTATCAACACTGGGACTGGGACTTAGACAGACACCGTCACCAGTCTAAGAATACATGTCATAAGCCTTGAGTCATCTATAGAGAAACAGCATGCCATAAACCCACATTACAGTACAGGTCATAGACCGATCTGTATGATCCAAAGGTAATTTGGATTCTTCAAACATTTAGTCATTTATATTTAGTGATAAAACATTATATTAAGAGGCCATCGCAGGTCATTTCCATCCTACTTCATAGCCAATAGTTGACTGATTGTTATTTGTATTCATAGTCACATGTGTAGCGATATAGGAAGGAGCTCTTTTTTCCTTTGCTATGTTAAGGGATCAATTTACATAGAGGTAGGGTATAAAATAGTTGAATAGTTTGAGGCAGATCATTGTTTATAAATGAATCAAAATAGTTAGTATAACGCAAAAGAAAGCTTTGAAGCCTTACTCAATTAAAAACATGGAACGCCTCCAACAGATTCACATTAGGTGCAGGGAAGTATTTTGTCTTGACTGATTATCAACATATTGTCTCAATTCTGTATACAGACAGGTACCATGGTCCTTACAAGGACAAATCAGCTTCTGTTTTTTGTCCACAGAGGTGCCACTTACTGCAGGGTTATAGCATTTGTTTCTCTCAGTCACACTAGCAGGAAGTTAAACACCAAGCCTATGCTAAAAGCTGCCAGCTTGGGTTAATTTGATTCTTGGCTGTTTGTAAAATGTTAGCCTTAAACAAAAACCTCAAATAATTTAATGTACATTGATAAAAAAAACAAAAAAAACAACCATAACTTTGGTGTATTCATATGTCATAAATGATACCATAGATTTAAGTATTTGGTCTTGAATTTTGCTCAGATGGACAATTATCAGTGTCACACTGATTTAAAATGTAGCTGTTTTAGCCCTGTGGTTGGTAGAAAAAGCTGTACGTTGTATTAGCAGGAAAACATTAGAGTCTGCCAAATAATGAAACCTACAGGATTCCTTAAGAAAGGCTGATTTTAGAGTTTGTAGCTACTGACAACCTCTTGTAACCCTCAGAAAATCCCTTGTTTTTTACAATTATAATTGAATATATTGTGAATTGAATTTACCATGCAAGACACCTCGTATGTTGTGCAAATTTCATTAACAAGGTTTCAAACAGGAGACTGTATCTTGGCCTAAACAAGAAAGAGTGATTTCAATAAACTGTGCAGCGTCCACGTCATAATACAACAAGGCTAGCCTGGCGTAAAAATGCTAATTGCATCTTTTGATGGGATGCAGCTTCCCGCTGCTTTCCATGTCTTTGTCTCTGAGCAGGAGGGGATAGGTCTGTTATCATGAGTCACAGCAACACAGAGCCATTCTCTCTGGCTCCCTGTACACTGACAGCCCAGATGTGTTTACTTTGTTTGTGTACCTCTGCCATTACGAGGTTGCCCTTACTTAAGTTCAAAAGCAATCCTTCAACCAGGCACTGAATGTGATGCCCTTTAAGTGGTCTGTAATTTGTTTATGAGGAAAATACCTGGAGCTTTCACTGAACATTTGCTAACCAACACACACGGTTGGAAAGTATAACATAAGAATATAGAAAGAATAAATGTAACGCTCAATGCTCTTTATGGAAAATCACATACACCTTGAAATTAAACATCAGTATAGCTCCCAAATGTTCAGATGTACACATTTCTGGGTGCAATAAGTTTTTACGCAAATTTGATGTTATATTCACAGTTGCAGTGTGCACCACAGCATCTCTTGTGTGGGTGAGAAAAGGAAGTCACACTTATCAGAGAGGTGGTGTGTGAATCATTCCATTCCTCACACATAGGAATACCAGGTGGAGAAATAGAGAGCAGCAAAAATACCAGAAGACGCACTTAAATAAAGCCACATTTAGCACTACTGCAGACTGGTTGCAGCTGGCAAATAATCTGTCCCATTTTTAGGGATCCAGGCCCTCTAGAATTTAAATATATGTTTTGTTCCTTGCTTTTTCATCGTGGGATAAGTTATGAAACGACCTCGGATTTCAAGGTCTGGCCACTCAAGGCGGCCTGAGAAGCTACTGAATGCCAGAATCAGAAATAGCTAATGGTTCTGAAATCATACCCAGATATTATGGCTGTTGAATAGCACACACTGAACTGCCAGATCATCAAGGAATAGCATGTGTTTGCCCTGCAGCAACCCAGTGTCAATTGAGTTAAATCTGCTGTGGCTAATGGGTGGTCTCCTCCGGGTTGTCACTCAAAACTCCAGGAGCAGTTCTGTACAGAGAAAAAGTGCTATTGTAAAAGTCCTAACATAGAGGATGAGAGTGGCTTTGTTCTCTCCAAAGCAAATCTGCCTTCCTATATATATCTATATATACAGTATGTATTAAGACTCACTTTTCTGTGTTCAGTATTGATTAGTTGCGTACTGCTATGTTCTAACCAGTGTACTGACTGTATTCTTGTATAATCTGATGTTGTTGATCACTTTGCATTTCGTCTGCCGCTGTGCTACTGTTAGTTGTATCAACATTCGAGTCTTGACATAAATGTTTATTTTTTAAGTGGGGTGGGGTTTAGTTTTTTTATCGAAATAGGATGTATTTTACACCTGACTCTGCTGAAGAATAAGGTTAAACAAAACAATACATGTATCAAAAACTGCATGGGAAGAGTGCAAGTTTTGAAATCATTGAACATGAGGCATCAAAATGGGCAGTATGTAGCCGGCAGTTATTTTCAATCAGTATATGACTTTGCTCATAAAGCCATAAGGAATTCAAGGAGAAAGGACAATGCTTTATCAGACTGGTAGGTGAGGTCTCCAACAGATACTTTTATGACAATTAAAGCAACAACTTTTCTCTCTTTAAGAAAAGTCAAAGAATATTTTTATAAAAGCCGGGGATGTGTCTCTTCACCCACACCACTGAAATAACACAAAGGGTTCAGAATGGATCAGAAGACAGAGGGTAAATAAATCTTCTCAGGACTTTGTCAGTTTTAAGTTCTAATGTAATACGATGTGAAAACACAAGTGCATTTTAAAGGTTTTCACATTTGCAGCATCAATAAGACTGGAAGAAGATTATGTGCAGTTCACATGCCCTTGGCTATTTGCGGTAATGGTACATTAACTGTTCCCTAAGTGATCAGTTCTCACTGATTAGGGAAGGGAGTGGTCTCTCACTGCCCGACATATATCCGTCTCCATTCATCTGACAATGTAGTAGCAATTATCTTTGAGGGGGTTTGGCTAAAAGCTTGATGCTTTAACAGTGTGCTACTACAAGACTGGAGCTTTCAACAGCATTAAAAGCACTGAGTTTATTGACCACGGCTTCAAAGGTAAGCTGGTGGGTCACTGCCATAAAATCTGAAAGGTCTCACAGCTAAAGTGGAATGGCTTTGCATGGTACGCTTAAGAGCTTCTCTGAATGCAGGATAGGTGCAACCTCGTAGGCATTAAAGATAAAAGAATACTGATATATCATTTGACTTAATAAAAGATCAAGATTTACACTTTGTTCTGCCTCTGTTTTCTGCTGTCTCTTGCTGTTTCCAGGAATAATCTTTGACAGGAACATGCTCCTCTAGTGATTCACTTCTAAATCTTTGAGGAGTAAGATAGAGCTTATTGAACCCACACTGGGGAAATTCACACATTCAATATTTCTAGGACAAAGCTGTGACATTTTGCCAAAATTACTGTGAATAATGTTTAGACACAACACCATGTGTTTCCTTGATTGGTAAGGGACTGAAGTTTAGCTACATTTAATCCAAGAGCCGTATGGCCAGTCTGATCTACATAGATGAAAGGTGTCTAGTATAAACTCGCTGCAAGTCATAATTGTTTATCACGTTGAACAGATTTAACATACAGTTACATCAGTTGATTTTTATAAACTGTCACAAAAAGCACAATAAAACAGACTAAATATGTTTATACAATGAGTGTTTATATAACTTGGTGGAAATGGTTAAAAGGTTCATCATATTGCTTTTTCCGAGGAGCAACACTGATGGCTTAACACCATCTAGTGGTAACATTAGGTAGTAAACTACTGTATGTAAACACTGATATTTACTGTCCACTTCTATTATACACCAGTATATCATTGATAACCAATAATTTGAGCCACAACTTAAAAATGAGGTTAAAGTTAATGTTGTTAATATATTTATATGTCTCTATATATACAGCTCTCTCTATGTATATATATCATAGATATAAATATATAATATATATATTTATATGAACAGTACAAATTCAGAAGTTCACAAATAATATACTGCAATATATCATTAATTCATCCAATTTGGGCTGAATGTCTCTCTCTCTGTCTGTCTCTCTCTCATATATATACACATTTACAGAAATATGCATACTCACAAAGTGAAGGAACCCCAACACACCTTTTCGTTTACTGCTGTATTTGTTTTCAAGCATTTCTTCAGTACCTTCAATTTGCATGAATATGTATATGTGTATGTCACACACACACAGATCAACCATAACATTATTACAAACTGTGATGCACTGTGTTCTGACCCTTTTCTATCAGAACCAGCATTAACTTTTTTGCTTTTCCTTCCTTGGATCACTTTTGATAGGTACTGACCACTGCAGACTGGGAACACCCCACAAGAGCTGCAATTTTGGAGATACTCTGACCCAGTCATCATCATCACAATTTGGCCCTTGTCAAAGTCGCTCAAATCCTCAAGCTGCCCATATTTCCTGCTTCTAACACATCTACTCTGCGGACAAAATGTCCACTTGCTGCCTGATATATCCCACCCACTGACAGGTGCCATGATAACCAGATAATCAGAGAACCACAGTAAAATAACAGAAGACACAATAAGATTCAAGAATTGTTTATTGTTTTGCCATGAATTTTCATTTTAGCAGCATGATGAATAGATTGAGGTATTCTTATATTCTTACACAAATAATAAACTGAAACATTTAATCACGTAGAAAAATAGACATTTTGAAAAAATACACATGCAATAATATGCAGACAAATATTTGTTCCTGATGTCTGTGCATAAAAATGTGAAGACACAAACAAATGTGGACAGAAACACACACACACACACACACACACACACACACACACACACACACACACACACACACACACACACACACACACACACACACACACACACACTATGCTGGCAGCAGCCTGCAGCAGGCATCTTCTCCAATTGGTCTTTTTAAGGCTGGCCTCTTTATTGGCTGTGAAGATGAGGTAAACAACAATTGTCACCTACAAATGCATTCGTTGGTAAAAAAAAAAAACGCACAATCAGATCAAGAACATTTGTGTCTTTTTAAGCTTAAAAGCATAGATCTACATCATCAAAATACATCGATGGCATGGATCTTCTTGCATGCCATTGCTAGCAGGTGTACTCACTCTTTAGGAGTCGGATCTTTTCTCCAGGCCCCAAACAAGCACATCCCCGTTCTCTCTCTTCCAGGCGAGGAGGCTGGAGCGGGAAGGGGAGGACAAGCGCTGACACTTGGAGGTTTTGGATAGTGAGGAGCTGAGAGGCGGTGACTCATTGCTGCCTTTGCGTTTTTGGGCAAGACCTCTGTTGTCATAGCCCATCACCTTCTGCTGGATCCCTGGGGGCTTCCCTCTGCTGCGGGGGGAGCGATGGAGAGGAGGACATGGCTTCTTTCCGTTTGAGAAGGTACCATTTACTGGCTCTTGAGAGGGGGGGACGTGCGGCTGGTCCTTCTCATGGAGGGGGGGATCCCTGATGTACTTTGAGGATTTGTCCTCACCGCTGTGTGACAGCTTGGCAGCTTTCTGTGCTGCGCTTGCTTCTTGCATAAGTTCCACCTTCCTCGGCCGAGCCTTGCTGGCTCGCCCAACAAGGTTGCGTCGCTGGCCAGACCCAAGGCTCGCAGAAGTGGTGGAAGAAGGTGGTTTGGTACTGTGAGCATTGTGCTGACTGCTTTTGGTTTCCAGTTGTCCCAGTGAGGTAGACTCAAGACTGAGGGAGCCAGTGGATTTAGAGGGTCTGCACCCAGTCCTGACAGGGGATCCTACAGTTGGAGGTGTGCCCTGATGTGACCTGAGACCTGATGATACTTGAGGTATTTTCCTGTAAGTTAAAGGAAAACCATGAAGCTGGTTAGAATCCCTGTATTTCATTTTCAATGACATGAAAGACACTTTACCTCTGTTCTGTATTCCATGGAAAAAATTAAATATAGGTTTTTATTTATCATTTAAAATCATTTATCATTTTTAAGAGTGTCAGATAAATGTCTGACCTTTTCTTATCAGAAAATTGGAAAATCCTTGATATGTAATAATTTATTAACACCTGCAGGAAAGAAAAAAGATTTAAGTGAATATCAGTGCCCTGCAGTGGGCTCAGTGTCTACTTCAAGGACAAACACTGGCAGATATTGGATCCTGGCTGGAAGTCTCCCAGCTATTTTCTTCACCTTGGTGACATTTCTACTAAGTATAGAGTATAGAATAGTGATACTTACGTCCACAAGTGTGTGCTGACATGATGCTCCAACATGGCACTGAGGGCAAACCGAAGGTGGTGCCAACGCCGGTCGAAGGTGAAGATGCTGCAACCCAATGTGTGGCATCCAAAAGTGCATAGCTACAGAACAGAAACAGTTTTATCAACACAGACTCATGTCCCTGACAACAGTGACTGAAAGAATCCAGTGATCCCTGCCTTTATTTTGACTGAGAAAGGGAAACCAAATTAGCCTAGTGCTTTTCACTCCATAAATTCACACACCACAAATGCTTTAAACGGAAATCATAGCAAACTACTTATGAAGTGGGCCTATGATACAAGTCTGCTGGCTGCTGCCATGTTTCTGCACTTACCCCAAGAGGTTTTGGGTGCCAGGGTGTGGCAGGCAGGTCTGTGGCTTCCTCCTGCTGCTCATCATCGTCTTCACTCTCCTCGCTTGACAGCAAGCTCTGGTTAAAGGGATAGGGAGGCTGTACCTCCACTTCCACTGTGCTGTCGGCTTCATCCTCTGGAAAGCTTTGTGATGGATCCCTGGTCCTGCTTTCAAGACAAAAGAATATAAAAATATAAGAAGAGAATAGATTAACACAAAGATAGCAGGTTCTACCTGGAAAGGAATTACTCCGATAGAAACACATGAACATCACCACCATCTGGATGATAATCTCTAACATTAGCAATCAGAACATGTATTTTTATAATTGTCTCATCAATTTTGTCTCATCAACATAATCTGTTTGCTACTTTCTATCTAACCCCAACCCTATCTATTGTGTCAATTCATTTTTGATGCAAAAAAAATATATATATGTAGAGAATAGAAATTGGTTGCAATGCTAGCACTTTGTTGTGCCCTACAGGTAACCATATGTACATTTGGATATCTGTCATTATTCTTCACACTGAAGTTCAACTTCATCTCCAGCAATAATTTGTAATGTAATGGCACGGTGTAATGGTTACCCAAGAGGTATTTTGGTGAATCAAACTCATGTTTTTAATATAAAATAAATCATATTCATACCTGACAATGTAACGGTTTCTGCTGAAGTTGTATTTATTGCCCTGAGTCATTTTTTTCTCTGCAAAAGCTTCCAAATGTTGCCCTTTGTCTTTTGATTTGACAAGAGACTGCTCCACATCTCGACCTGTTGGGGTTGTTCTCTGTTCCACTGCCAACTGATCAAAGGTCTTAGTCCTTCCCAAAGCTTTCTGCTGCTGGTGGATGGAATCAGTCTGTGTAGAAAGAACAGCACAGGGGAGAAAAGAGAGCCATTACATCCCATCCCAAACAAATTATGTCCATGTTTCTGTATCATATAACAAATGCAGCCTCAAAGACAAAAGACTAATTCCTCTGTTGATAATGAACAACAATAAAGATACGAGTAACACTGAGAGTTTACATTGCATATAAGCTCCTGGCTGCACAGCTTCTTCCTTTCTGGATCCAGAACTCCGCAGTGTTTGTTCAGGTCACATTCTTTCTCTATGGGAAATAAAGCAAATACAGTAGTCAGTGAGCAGCAGCAGGACAGACAGTCAACATAATCCATGCTGGTGGAATGATTACATAGCACCATGTGGTAATTTTTCTAAAACAAAATAACAGGCAACAATTCTGCAAACAATCTAATTATATTACAATGCAAACACTGTTATATGCCACACCCTGGCTAATAAAATTAATGTTTCAGGGTCCTTGACAGTTCAGACACATCTGGCAGAAAAGCAGTCGGCTTACTGTCAATGTTTTTGTAAATCCGGCTGTAGGTTCTCATTCCCCGCAGAGGACTGAGAGACTCACTGGACGGCCCAGTTGTGGGCTTTTGTGCAGACGGTCTGTCTAATGGAGAAGTGGAGGAGGAACAGTGGCCAGGGGGGAGGGGTCCTGAGTACCACGGAGGAACCCTGGGACGAGGCGTGGTGGAGGAGTGGTGTGGGAGAGGAGGGTTCTCCTGAGGGAACTTCTCCACTAAAGGAAAACTGTAGAGGTAGTTAGAGAGGTAAAGTTCAGAATTAGCAGGCTTGGAATTTAGATGCAATAAGTGACAAAATTCAGGTTTGTGTGAGTCCTAAATCACTGTTTCTAATTGATGATTGAAAACAGTGACAGTTATTGCATTTAATGTCAACTCTAAACCTCAACACATGCGGTTCTTTTGTCCCTCCATGATAATAACAGACATTATGTTATCAACAAGAATTACAAAGTAGAAATCTCTGAAATATTCTTATAATTAACATTTCCCTGTGTCCATGTAAAAAGAAATAAAATCTTAAAACAGTACCTCACTGCCTCCTTCTGGGCCTTGGTGGGCCTGTGCTGCTGGACAGGTAATGCTGCACTGGCTTCATGACATCTACCATCCCTCTGCTTCTCTCTAGAGGACAGATTCGAAGGAGAGCGACCAGGGCGAGGTCGCTGCTGTGGGGCCAAAGCAGATGACTGGCCACACATTTTAGTGAGAGGACCATGGCGCCTCTCACAGTGCTTCTCAAAGGCTTGAGGCTTCACCACCTGCCCACAGTGGCTGCACACCACTAGATAGATCTCATCGTGTGCTGGGCATTGGCCAAATATGTGCATATCTGTAGAGGGGAGTACAAAGAGAGTTAAAGAGAAATGAGAAGTGAGAGTGAACGCACAGAGTTATCAGGTTTCATAAGTCACCGCCTTCACCTTCTTTCCTGAGGGTCATGGTCTCACAGCGGTTCCTCCCATACTTGCTGCTGTCTTCAGCATTAGACCCAGCTGCATGAAAGGCAAAAAAACAGTCAGCATGAAATACTGGGATGGGACATTCCTATAGCCTCCTCCATAAAGCAGGTGTACTGAGATATCTGAGTAAAACCCGGAACACGTCGTACACATCAGTCCGTGCTCCCTTTTTTTGGCCAAAAAGATAAAAGTTATCCCAAAAAAACTCCTAATTTCTCCTCACATAACATTACATCACTACTGCTAGCACCGCCCGCCTTAGCTAGCCCAGTAGCAAACTGGACAAATCCTTCTTGAGTAACGTTAGTGTTGTTGTTGTTGTTGTTGTTGTGTTTGGTGTGACAGCAGCTGACGGGCTAACGGTCTATCTACCTGTCCACAGGTAAACCGTTCGTGTTGTATTCACTAGCTACAGGTTTTTAATCACTAACTACATTTCTAAACGCCTAGGAAACACATTTTAAATGTGTTTTGTTTGTTGCCAGTTAACATCCTTCACAACCTGCATTAGGACCCAGCGGGTCTTTTGTTTGGGTCGCCCTTTATGCCGCCGCTCTGTGGATGTATCAAAAAATAAATCACAGGATGTTTGACACTGTGACGTGATGAACACCAGGTGTGGGGCAGGGAGTGCGACTCACCGTCAGATGGTAAAATATTCACCCTATCAACCCAGCAACTCCAGTTTAATCCGACAAAATCGTCGAGATTAGGATTTCGCCGACCCAAAGCGGCCATTGCTGCTCTTGCGCGTTCACGAGATGATACCGTCAGTTCGCGCGCATCACCGCCGCGTCACAAAGCTCGCGGCCGTATGGATAACGCCATATGAACGACCGAGAGGATGATATTTACACCTTTATACATCTGAACCTGCACTGGTCTCTGTCTGCAGTATGTAACAGACAAAGTGAAAATATATATAAATATATCTTTAAAAACATTATCTTGGATGACCCTCATCTTCATAATAATCCGGACCATGGGTCATTATTCATGTAAGACTAATGTTATCAGGTTTTCACAGAGGTAGTGTCACCTATTTCATTTTATTTATTTATTTGGTTTGTTTCATATATATATTTGGGATATAAAAGATCCATCATCCATCATCAAAATCCAAATTTCAGTTTCTTGCAGGATAATTAGGGCAGACCATTGACAGTATATAGGGGCAGACACACAAGTATATATATGTGTGTGTGTGTGCAGATAGATAGATTAGCTAGAGATAATAAGACAAACAGCCTTAATGTGTATCTTACCCAGCTCACTGCATGTTTTCTTTTTCATTGTATTCTCTGATCAACCAATTAGTCTGTTGAATATTAAACTATCAGAGAAAAATACTCATCACAATTTCATAAAACTCAAGGTGATGCTGTCAAATTGCTTATTTTATCCAACCAACAGAGCAAAAAATATTTGAAATCATATTAAAGATGAAAGAAGCAAATCGTTCACATGTAAGAAGTCAGAGAATGTTTGGTATTTTTGCTTGATAAATGATTTATAGTTAATTTTCTTTTGATCAACATTTAATTGCTTCAGTTCTAGTAACCAAACATGAATTAAATGTGCTGGGCATATATGCAAATTAAACGTATTTACAGTATATGTATAGTGTAGTTTCTAGATTATAGCCTGACTAAAGGTTTTCTGTAATAGTTTTGGGCAGTTTTAGCACTAATGGATCAGGTATTATTGCACAGTGATGAATCACTGACAGACCACAGCATTGTGAGTGTAACCTAAAACTTGACTGGACTGTTGAGGGTCAGGAGGTTCATTTGAAGGTGTGTGTGTGTGTGTGTGGTGATGATGCCTGGTTAGAAGGAGCCTGTCTGCCACCTAGTGATTGTCAAATTGCACTGCATGCTGCCTTGCTTACTGAATGCCTGAATATTATAATATATGATATGATTACAGTCCACTATGTGAATCTTATTCTCAGTGTGTGTGATGAAAACATTATGTACAGTATGTGTGCTACCACTGGTGAAACAGTCATACATAAAATCAGACACGTAACCAGTCGTCCAGTTCTTCCTTTTAATGACGCACAGCACTTCATGTCCACAAAGTACCTTCCTGGATTGTAATAGGAACTCCAGTCTCATCTGTGTGACACTTTTATTAACACAGTGGTGGATCAAACTGTGAATCAAGCAAAGCTATAATAAATCACAATGATGGCAGTAATAGAGACTAACAGCTTCCATTGTAACAAAATGAGGGTAGAAGCCAAACAAATGCTAGAACAAAAGTATGGAGTAGTTAGTAACAGATTAGAGATCAGTCAATTGTTTATGAAAAAGTTACCAGCTAGCTAAGGCTATACAACTGCTAGTATATTGGCTTTGGCACAACATAGGACCTTTTTGGGCGTTTTATTAGAAACATTACAAACAAGCAGCCGCAGGACAAAGAAAAAACAACATGTTCTTTCAGGGAAAAGATAATAAATTCTACAAGTCTAACAGTTTTAAATGCTCTAAAGGGGTATATCGAACTACATTCAACATAATGTTCAGCTCTTAGGCTAAAACAGTAAATTTAACCTTAACATTGTGACATGATGAAGCACAACTTAATGCAAAATAGATTCAATAAAATTGCTTTCATACATCATAAATAATCTCATGTTGGCAACTGAATTATTTTTCCAATCAACTATTAAACATTCATTGTAATAACACGTTTTGATGCATATTGTATGTTTTAGGATTGGACTGAAATTTGGTTTTGTCTACAGTCTAGACTTTTGTTAATAATAAATGCACTTCAAGTAGTTAATATTTATTAGGTATTTTATAATTCGTACACTTAATAGCCCTGAGTTTTGTTTGTTTTAAAAAAAAGGCTGATGGAAAAAAAAATTATGTAGGGTACAGAAATTCTGCTGGCAGGTAACAGGTTGACAGAGTGATGCTTCAGTATGATTTATCACCAACGAGGCTGTATAGTCTACACCTGCAGTACCATCTGAGATAAGGGACACTTAGTTTTTGATACCTGGGTATACATATTTTAAAAAACGGAACATCTATGAGAATAACATTTTTGACTACTACGCTCTATTGATTGTATGTATGAACAACTCAAGTTTTAGTTTCCAAAATGTATCTGAGACAATATAATACCTAAATATAAAATTAATACATAGCAGTAGCAAAAAAAGGAGCAGTCAGTTTTGGAAATGTATGCCTTATAATCTACAGTATTTTTCTTTGAACAATTAGTACCAAAATGACTCATTTAATAACACTACATGTTAGACAATTTTCAAATGAGGAAACTGTGCGGTTACGATGGCCCAACCCCTCCCTCCACATTTGAAGGCTGGTTGTCTGATCTGTGGAAAGGTGTTTCCTTGTAAATGAACCAGCAGTTGCCACCCCACAGGATGAGGTTAAGAAAACCAAAAATCTGCCAAAGAATAAGACATAAGTCAAATACTGCAGGCTGTTGTGCACACAAGTTTAAGCACGTCTGGAAAAGACTAATTTGCATTCAACTCACCACTGACGCATTTAGTCTGCCCATGTGAGGCAAGGCACCTGGGCTGCACTGGTTGTCACCACTCTTGCAGACCTCAAGACGGGATACAATGTCTGAAGGACTGGTGGCCCACTTCACATCGGTCAAGCCTTTAGCCCAAGCAGAGGATGATACCAACCACAAGAAGGCAAAGGCCGCAGTCACCAACAGGTCCTTAGAGAATAAAGACAACCAGTTTAAAACCATTTAACAGTCGAAAATAGTAGCTTCACTCCAGTAGCTTCCGTGGACGGAGACTACCTAGTGCAGTATGTCGCTTAGTTGCTTGGGAACCACACCCTTCCCACTGTTTCATTTACACAACTCTGTTAAATGCTCTTTCTATGACCTCCAGGATGAGGTGGACTCAGAGATGCAACATTTTGCACACAAAGCATAATATATAAACATTGCCTGCATAGATAAAACTACATTCATCCATTCATATCAGTGGTATCACTGCTGAATTTACACAGCAGCTTAAAGAAAACTTTCCTGCTTGAAATGCAGTCTCTTGAAGTCCACACCGTGTAATTTCATCTCACTCCATTTCTAAGCTATTTATAGGCGGTGAGGAGGGCCTAGCTAAGCACAAACATTTCACCAAAACAAATGAGAATCCAGAGAAACGTACCACAATGGGTCCACGACTAGATTCTCTATATACGTGCTGGTAGCCCAAGTAGAGGACTAGTGTGGCAGTGCAGTAGAGAAAAGCCAACACTCCGATACAGACGTAAAACTGTGCAGAGGATGTGTGGTCTCCAGTCAAGAAGTAAGGAGTGGTAGTCGTTACGTTGGGTTTGCAGTCAGGAACATTATAAGGATTCTGCATCAACCTGTGTAAACACAGAATATTTAAAATTATAACAATCCTAAAAGTAAACACACACTTTAACATGAGCTGATTTCTCACTGGAAATGTGAGACTATTTGTTTGCGCGCACACACACACACACACACACACACACACACACACACACACACACACACAGACCTGAATGGGTAGGAAAAGTGTGCCTGTATTTCTTCAATGCTATGTCCCTTGCACTGGACATTGATGCTCGTGGTGCCGCTGTAACCTCCAGTCGTAGCAAAAGCAAATATGGAGAACACCTGCAGCCGCAGACACAAGATAAGAGAAGAACGTTGGCATACTAGGATGATCAGGACAGAGTGCTGCTCAAACAGTCACATATACACGTACAAACACACACACACACACACACACACACACACACACACACACACACACACACACAGACTTCCCTTTATTTTATGCAACACACTTTCAACAGGAAATCCTTCTGTTAATCACAGGATGCCATCACTGTGAAACATGTTCACAGTTCACAGCAGAAACATTTCATCATATTTAAAAGCACACAGAACTAGCAAAAGAACAGGAGCTAACATAAGTACTGAGAATTAATTATGAGGAAAGCACACATAACAACACCTACAACATTGTATTATTCGAGTGGAAATATTGTAGCTGAATATCATATTATATATATTATACATTATACATTTATTAATATTTACAGTCAATTAAAGCAAAATAAAGTATTTTTCTACGTTGCAAAACACATCCTTAGCCACAGGTGCTACACTGAGCATGCGAACACACGTTAATGATAGCAACCAATAAAGTCAACAGGCTGTCATCTTGGTGTGCTCCTCTGATATAACGTTATATTACGAATAAACCCTCTGCATACCACATTTGAATCGCTGTCACAGCTCAGAACATGAGTTGCATAGCTTCTCCAAGCGTGCAGTGGGTCACAAGACAAACAACATAATCAATTTGTTTTTTTTCCGCTACCAGGGATGGAGAGAGAAGACAACCCGCCATAGGCCATTATGGGAAAAACCTGAGCGAGGTTAGATAAAAACTTAACGTTACCCATTCTAGCAAACGGATGAACGCCAACGGCTCTTTCAGAGGTCCCAAGTCAAGACTGAACCCCGACGTCAGCACTTTCTGGTGGGAAGTAAACACACAATGTGAGGAACGAGCGGTTATACTGCGAGAGAAACTACAAACAAATAGGTGTGTTTGCTAACTAAAAAAAAAAAAAAAAAAAAAAAGAAGGAGAAGAAAAGTGTCCACTCATTTTGCGGCATAAACCGTTATTTCGCTTCCTGTCGGCGCCGTTACCTGGGCGACAGATTCCATCGTTTGTCTGCAGAAAAACACCGTTAGTGCCGATTATGAGCCTCCTTTTCCTCGGTGTTTTTAGCAGCTCGTCCGGGCTCTTCGTGCTTGTCAAACTTTTCTCCAACTTCAGCAAATCGTAGTAGGTGTCACGTGATCAGTGACGGCGCTGATCGAGAGAGAGAGAGAGAGAGGAGAGAGAGAGAGGGTTTGAAATACAGCTCAGGGCTCCTGTGTTTGAGTCTGTGTAGACTGTACAGCACATGCAGGTTAATAGGATGAAGTATTCAGATCCTTTTGCAAAAAGCAGCAGTACAATGTAAACCCCAGTAAAAGCCCTGATGTTTGATTAACAGCATCTAAAGTACTCATTATTATCAGAGTATACATTCACAAATATATTACTAAATAAAGAAATACATATATTTAATTAGTATTGCATTATTATTACTAATGTATTAATATGTAGGCTATACACAGCATTTGATGTTGTAGTCAAAGTGGAACTAATTTAACACAGTACATGTACAGTACTTGCCTCATATAATTTATATCTGAACTGAAGACAGCCTTATCACATCATTTTCACTTTATAGTTCATGCTCTACATCTCTAATCTCAAAATATGCATACTAACCCAGTTCTGTATATGCAAGTTTATCATCCATAAACCCTTTATTCCTATGTTTGCTCTGCCATCACCTACTCCTACCACAACCCTGTATATAAACCAGCTGTTTGAGTTTGCTTACATTTATTTAGCCTGATATCTTTGTATATCTGTATCCATGTTGTCCTGTAGATTGGTCCTCTGCACTGTATATTGAGAGCTACTGAGAACTGGAGTGAAATTCCCGAATATGTCAACGTAAAGTAAAGATTATTTTAATTCAGTGTATTCGTCTCATGTAATAGATTATTTTGTGTGTTTTATGTTTAAATTCAAGATATTTGAATAAGAACTACAAGGATGCGTTGCCATGAGCCACAAAAGCTCCAGGTTCCCTGTTTGTCAACTCGTTGAACATCATTCATTTTAAATTTTTTCCAATAAAGTGCACTGTAGACTAAGTGGGTTCTGTATTATTTTATAATCTTGTCACCTTATCTTGTAGTGGGGACCTTAGTTTATATTATGCTCACACTAATGATGAGTACTGGTTGGTTTCTGGGTGGGCACTGTATGGATCTTAGAGGTAACATAATGCACAGAGGGCAGGAGATGTGAGTAGAGGGTCTACATTTTTTTTAACCTTTTTTTTAGGGTGCCTTAACAAGTTAATATGTCTAAAGTTCTACTGTGTATATTTGATCGAGAGAAGATGATGGCAACAACTGAAAATAAACAAAAATACTGCTTCCAAAAAGGTGATGTGCAACCATTTTGCAAAAATGCAAATGCTTGAAATTAGAGTTTGCGGAGTGTAAAATGTCCATCTGACTGCACAGTAATGATACTTACTTTTCACTAGAGGTCGCCATTTCCACAGATACTACATGAGTATTATTAAACTAACCCTCTTTATCCAAAGCAAGCCATGTGTTTCCCATGACTCCCATCAGCGGAGGTTGAACTCATTCACACTCAGGCTGTCCATGTACTTCCTTCGGTTTGGGTCAATGTAAATGCTCTTTCTTAGGCTTGGCAAGCAGGGAAATTTAGGTACACGTGGTCTCATCCCTTAATTTTCCTACCTTCTCTCAACACACCGTGCAGTCAAAAAAGTCAAATCTAGGTCTTCGTTGAAAGGCACTGTTCTCATCCTAACAGAGTACATCTCGAAGGAATAAGAGTGGCTTTGTTCTCCACCTTTTAATAGTTGAGTGGGCTGCTATGGGGGAGGGGCTGCAACTCCATTGTACAGTCCCTTTGTGGAGGAATGCTGCTCTACAGATCAGATTGTTTGGCTTCCTGAATGAATCTGGGAATCAAGAAATACGCAAGCAAGATTAAACACACACAAAGAATATTCCTGATTATACAGGGTTGCTTAAGTTGCTAAATTGTGGATTGAAGTTCAAGGTTGCAGGCTCTTTGAAATAACTGAAACCAGTCCAACAGCGTTTTACTTTTGGTTGCGGTGAGATGACACCTTTTTTTGTTTTGGAGTTTTGCAAACTTGTCAGACAGGGTGTGCCACACCAAAGGCTAAACATGAGAATAATGAAATACCAAGCGTGACAGTCTGAACGGGTTCCTCCCCTCCTCTAGAGTTTCAGTCATCCTGTTGGTATGACTAGGCACCAATACCTCATCCCTCTCAGCTGGAGGTTTAAAGAAAAGATGACCTAGTACACCACAGCAAACCTAAAACTACATATTGTTATACTTGGATTACACTTTGTAGCCTGTAGTTTGAATATGTTCAGTCAGAATATGGCAGCTATGGGAGGGGGATTTTTCTTCCTGCAACACATGACCAGTAGTCATGAGTTTGTTATGGCCCACTGTCTCGTCACATGCACACATTTAATCAAGAGCACAGTTTCACTCATTGCAACCAACAAAATTAATACATATAATTTAAGAATGTTGCAGGTTACACAAAAACACCCGCTCTAATTAATTTACAGGAGTTAAGATCACATGATGTTGTAGGTTAGTTTCCCTATTTGCTCATGTTCTTCTTGACCATGACGAGCATAATTATAAACACACTACCTCATGTTTCAAAATTGTTTAGACTTAAAACTGAGACTGGAGTGTAGAAAAATAAATTAAATACTGTATTAACTGTGTTAATGTCTATGTAATAAGGGATTTCTTCCAAAACCTCTTCCATTAAAAAGGTGCCACTAGTCACTTTTTTTACTTGTATTTGTTAAAACAAATTTCATTAGGTTATATAACATGTTTTATACAAAGTGTTAATGTATACTTGCATAAACGGTCCATTTCAAATAAGATTGTTCCACCGGTGGATAGATTCCTCAGATTCAGTGTGATCTAATCTCTTGTTTCAGCCTCCCAACGTCACAACAGATCCAGTATTTAATCCCTGACAAAGTTAACTGTGGAAGGAATGAGTTTCACTTCACACGTTACACATGTTATCACTGTATTTAATATCAGAGACATGAGGACAAATGTCATATAATCAGACATAGCTTTATATTACCTTATACATATGCTATATTCAATTATAGTTGGGCATCTGTTGGTTTGTGGAAAGTGGAAACATAAAAATAAGTTAACATAAGCAGAAAATGGCTTTTTATTGTCGTAGACCCTGGGAAAATAAATTGGAAACTTCACAAAAATCACAAACATGACAAAAATGTATACATGTGCTTAAAATCATACTTTATTTGAGTTATAATAATCATAGTATTAATAATAATAATTATAGCAATCATAAAGCAGCATTAAGTTTCAACCCCACTAATATTGTATATATATATATATATATATATATATATATATGTTTGTAACGTCATTGTCTCCACCACATCACAGCAAATAGTGGATGAAAAATGCAATTTTTAAGCTTTAAATTAAGTTCTGGCTGGCTCTCAACCTATCTAGCATTTGACATCTGACACCGCCCCTTCCAGCCTCTTAACCAATCAGAACAGCGGATAGGTGGCTCAGAATGGGAAGTAGCCAATCAGTGGCTCCTCTCTGCATTGATAATTACGACCATTTGCCGGATCGTTACAGTGTATTATGTTGGCTACGGAGTTGCAGCGCGGATAATTGCTGTCAAATACTCCGTATAATTTAAATAATTGCGTTTTTTTCCTGATTTGATATTTTTTCCCGCAGCTGCGCGGGGGGACATAGCCGGAGCTTTGAGGGCGCTGCGCGTTTTTAAAGCCCGAAATAGTCGCTGTCAGGGCTACTGTTTTGTTGATGTCATCCGCGGCAGAGCTGTAGCGACCTTCAATTTCTAAAGGCAAGACCGGGATAAACAAAGACTCGTTTTTTGGGGTGTTCTTTTCCTCCCCTTTCTTTGTGTTGTTGTTTTTTTTATAACACTCAGCACCAAGGATGGGACTTTTGCTGCCCTGTATCCTGCTGTTATCTGCCTCCACTTTCACAGCCGGTGTGGATTTCCAGCGGGGACCCAAACCCTTCGGGCAGTCGGTTTTCGTGAGGCGTTCATACATTGAGGAGAGAGCTGCGAACATCGTCAAGAGGTCTCTGCCTGCATGGCTGTCCGCATCGCCAAAGCACAGTATAAAACGAAGGAGCGCCGAGCAGGGCGACTCCTGCGAAGCTCTTCAAGGATATGACACCAAGTTAGCAGAGAACACCCACAGTGTAAGTTACCGACCGAGGTCCTGTTACGCTTCGCACGTCTGACAATTAAAATGAGCCGAGAGGAGATGATGCGCAGGTGCTAAACAGGTGCACGGATAGGCCTAATCAGCTCGTCGGTGTCCTCAGAAACCTAGCTACTGCTGGCTTGTTTTCCACTCAACTGTGAGCCCTGAAGCCCAGGGTAACAGACAGACAGAGCTCCTCTGTAGGTTCATTTTTCCTCTCTCTTGTAAAAGAAAAAAAAAAAAAACAATTAATGCAACATGTATGAGCATTAAAATACTTTGCAGAGTCCAGGTTCTGGCAGGAGGTGGCTTTTTCTCGCCTCTCTGTTGCCCACCACTTTTGGACTGCCATGATATTTGTCTTTTTTTCTATTTGTCGCAGTGAAATACAGTGTAGTGAAACAGCAACAACGCCTATTTTCCCCATGCTTTAAGACCTATGTAGGCTACACGGAAGCAGTATCAGAACCTGAAAAGGCGCCACTAATGGCTATGACCTATATCTTGGTTCTTCTCAAAGATTCAGCTGTGTTCTCTATTTGAGGATCCCACTTTTCTCTGCCTCGCTGACAGTGAATCTGCCTGAACGTTGACAGGGAAATTGGCCCAGGGGAATGCATGTGACTGGCTGTGTGGTAGTTATTTTGTAATTAAAAGCTGTTTGTGTGGCAGTAAAAGCAGTTAGGAAGCAGTGAGTCTGGTTAAGATACACAGTGGTTATAGTATAAAACTGTAAAATCCTGGATAGGGGAAGAGAGCTAAATCTGGTGTCACCAGATGTGCAATGGATTTCACAGTTTTAGCACAGAGGAAGAGAAAGCAACCCAAATGAATGCTGCTTATAAGCTATCTACGCAACCATGCAACGCTCTCCTCCAAACAAACAGGAGGCTGACCTCAGCAGAGCCCTGTGCTGCTTATTTTCCTAGCTCCTCATTGCCATGTGATCAACTTTGCATTGCAGTCTTTGTATACTCGGCCCGTAGTCTAAAGTTGACAGAATTCCTAGAGGCTCAGCTTTGTCGCTCCCCTCGAGGTTACTGTTGCAGGTCCCACCGGTACCGAAGCTGCTTACAGCATGAGCTGCTGAAGGAGACCTGCCTTAAACAGTGCATGTTCACATAGTTGAGGAAGAATGTGCCACTGAATGGGTTTCAGGAAGCAAGGTGTTTATGTAAGGCAGCTGGAATCTGTCTGAAAATGAGAGGGAAATTATTTTTGTTGGAGCCACAATGCTAAATTCACATTATTTGCACAAAACTATTTATAGAGTGAAAATCTGATTCGTGTCCTCAGTTGTAATGTGGTATTCAGTAGTTGTATTGAAGGCTCTGCTGAGTGCATTTGGCTTGGAACCTTGTGCTTCCTGAAATGCTTGTCTGGTCTGATAAGTGGTGCTTCAGCAATGTACCAGTCAAAGCAAAAATACAGTCTGCAGGTAAAAATGCACAATGCAAATGTCAATCTCTGTTTGTCAGCTACGCTCAAACAGCTGTTCCTCTGATAGTTCAGTATCACTGACGCAGCTATTTAGACATACTCCTCAACTGCTGCTGTTATTTTTAATGTATTTTATCTGTTTTTTCCTCAGTATACCTTCAATGACCTGAGTGGGTCAGTGTCGCTGGCCTGGGTTGGAGATGGCACAGGGGTGAGTGTTATACTCTTCTTTAGTTGCATCTAACATATCTATCATGCAGTGTTGTTCCACTGTGACATGAGTGGGACAAATTTGGCTGGATGATTCAGTGAACCGTATGAAAGTGGCAGGGTAGTCTGCCTGCAAAGAGCCTTATAGATTACATAATGAATTCTCTCACATCAGGAGAGAATCATTCACATAAATAAATGATCCACGCTCCATTTTCCTGAAGCTGAATCTTCTTTCTTGGCAGGTCATCCTGGCTTTGACCACTTTTCAGGTTCCCTTCTTCATGATAAGACTTGGGCAGTCCAAACTATATCGCAGGTAACTCTTATGATCTCACCTGTTACAAATAGTGCACGGCTTGTATTTGATGTGCTTTTAATGTTTGCTGCAACCAATTCGTCTGCCAGTGAGAACTACGGGAAGTCATTCCAGGATGTGACCAACCTCATCAACAACACCTTCATCAGATCAGAGTTTGGAATCGCTATCGGTCCCGAGAACTCTGGGAAAGTACGTCACGCCCTCTTCCTCTGCCTCATTTACTTTATGCAGTCACCTAGAGCTCCTACAGATTTTGTGCTTCTGTTACCTGTGCCTAAATTAACATTTTATCATCTGGTACAATTTCATCAGTCTGAATTTTGGACTCTGCCTTTGTAGGTTATCCTGACAGGAGAAGTGTCTGGAGGTCACGGGTCTCGGATCTTTGTCTCCGATGACTTTGGAAAGAGTTTTAGCCACCAGGACCTGCCCTTCATCCCCCTGATGCAGATCACATACAACCCTGACAATTCCAATGTGCTGATGGTCCTCAGCAACAGTGTAAGTAGGGAATGTTGCAGAGCTTTGTTTTGTTTGGAAAGCAACCACTTTGGATGTAAGTTAGCTAGTTTACATAAACCCATTGAGAGGGTGAACAACCTATATTCATGGCCTGTTGTAAAACACTTGATGGCCAACATCAACAAGAGTGTCCTTGGTCAATGATTTTTTATGTGTTTGCACAGAGTTCATTTATTAACATGGCTATGGTGTCTTCTGTGTGACCTGTGTAAACAGTGTCATTGCAATTGAACTGAGTTCATCGTTTAATAAACCTTTCTGTGCTCAGAATGAACTGTGGCTGTCTGAAGATTTTGGCAGCAACTGGAAAAAGCTCCACGACATGGTGTGTCTGGTGAAATGGTAAGAGACGAGACACATTGAGGATATTAGCACCTATATCAGGTGCTCAGTGAACAATCAGTAGTGTTATTCAATATCCCCAAGTGTCTGTGTCTCAGGAAAGTATTCCTGTTCAGTGTGATTAGGGAGGAGTGTAAGGTCCCCATTCCTATTGGTCTGGCATATAGCAAAGATTTTATGATATCTTAGTCAGTTCCAGTAAGTATTTACTTTAGTTTTACTTCCTCCAACAAGTGAATTAGTACATATAATGACAGTGGAGTTCACCTCTCTTTACTTTAATGGTGATCAAAGCCAATTTAAACAAGTTTGATATTTTTCAAACTTATGTTAACTTTGTAATATGGTTAATTAATAACCAGTTAATAACCAGACACAAACATATTAGTTATATTATTATTATCATCATATTTTTCTTTTTTGTTGTTGCGTTTGACTGTTATTGTTCAAAACAGGCAATAAAACTGCATTGCAGTCAATGACTGTTCAACTGGCTCTGTTGTAGCCAAACCCTCAGAGCGCTATTGTTGTTTTAGAGGCACTTCCTGCTATGTATCACCTAGTAACCTTGGCAGCTCCAAATATCTTTTTAGTTTGGATTTTAACACTGTGTTTTTCACGGTCACTGTGTGTGAGAACTCTATGTACAAAACAGTCTTCCTGAAACATAACCTTTTATTAAAAGACGCTGTTCTGAAAAGGCTCCAAGAAAATGGGTCATTCTCAACTGGGACAGGAGCTTTCTGAAGTCAAAACACTACACTCCAAAGACAGCACATATTTAAGAAGGGCATGGGCGTATGCTGGCTATATTTGATAAAGCATGTCATGTGACGCTCAACTTCACAACAAAGCAAACACTATTATGGAAATAGATTGTTAGTGCACAAAGAGTCCTGTATGAGACCTGATTTCTTCCTTGTGATGTAGGCACACTGAGAACTGTCACACCCCTATCAACAAAGCAGTCCACTTCTATTTTGCTTACTTATCCTTGACTCTGTTGACTCAAATGTGAAATTGTTGGTATTTTCCACTCTTATTCTAGGGGAAGGAAAAATACCATCTTCTTAACAGCCAGCCTCAACGGATCCTGCAGTAAGTCATCACGTTATTAGAATTTGCATGTTCAACTTTTGTGTACATACATGGAGATTACTGAGTATATATTTTAAAATGTATAAAGAGAGTTTAAAAGATCAGTGAGATAAGTAACTGAATATTGGATTATGAATAAAAAGATTGAAATGACAAATGATATCAAGATAAGAGATGATCCTGATGATCCTTTAGTGTTGTATTTCTCTTTACTATATGAAGCTATTAATTGCACTTGTTTTTATACTAACTTTGTTGCACTTTCATTTCTAAGTTATGTTTTTTTAAGCTATGTTTTTTTTTCTTTTTCAGATGATCGGGGAATGTTGGAACTGCGGAGGATAACGGACTACGGTAAAACCACCAAGACTGTCGCCAGTAAGGTCTACTCCTTCGGCCTGGGTGGGCGCTTCCTCTTTGCCTCTGTTATGACAGGCAAGGTCAGTATATAGTTGGTTGCAAATCACCAGCAGATACAGAAACATGATCAGGCAAATCTAGGGGCAAAATATTGATTGTTTAGATCATTTGTGTTTGTAAGAAAAAGCTTCAGCCTACTCAGTATGAAATACAGTATGCAGTTGATCTACACTGTATTAGGCAAATGTTTGTTGTAGTATTTGTATATTTCAAATTGATAGTTTTGCTATCTCTGTTAGTGGCTTTAAAGAGAAGTCTTTGGTTAAGTATCACGTATAAGAAAATATAGCTATTTATGGAAATTTAAAGGGGAATGTCACCAATTTTACACATTAATGTCTGTCACATCAGGTCTTGGGGTCATCTTATTTTCCCACCTCTTTCTCTGCAGGGCACAATGAGGATGATCCACGTGTCAGTGGACCAGGGCGAGACGTGGAACATGGCCCAGCTGCCCCCTGTTGGTCACGAGCAGTTCTACTCCATCCTGGCAGCGAACGATGAAATGGTCTTCATGCATGTCGATGAGCCCGGAGGTCAGTCCAGACAGAAACCTCACCTGTTCGCTCTTCATATTGTATAACAGAGCAATAATAATAACAAACTGTAATGCAAAGAAAATATTAATTGCAAGAGCTTTTGTCTATGTCGTGAACTTGAGTCTTGTTATCAAGACAATTTTTTACTATCATCCGTGCAATCCTGCATCTGAATTTTCTTATCTTGCAGTATGTGTGAACCAATTTGTGTTTTTTTCCCTACAGATACAGGGTTTGGTACCATTTATGTATCAGATGACCGGGGCACTGTCTACTCCAAGTCATTGGAGCGCCACCTTTACACCACCACGGGGGGCGATACAGACTTCACTAACGTCACCTCCCTGCGAGGAGTTTTCATCACCAGTGTCCTGGCAGAAGGTAGCTCTATTCATGTGCCTGTGGTTAGATAAATGAATAGCAACACATGCCTGTACTCAGATTCCCCTCAGAAAACACACACATGTATGACTTCTCCATTACATACTGGAGGCAGGGCGTTAGGTAAATATTTAATTAGCTGTTCAGTGTTAGATGTGCTGTCTGTCTGAAGCAACTGGCTGACACTTCACCAGAAATACCTTGCATCGCCAGTTAACTCTTAACTGTCATGTCTCATACTCACAATATTTTTTGTCGGAAAATCAACATTTTTCCCTTATATTTATATCTTTTTCTTATCTCCATTCTTCTGTACGACCAGTCTGCTGTGGTTTCATGATTAATACCAGGGTGGTATGGGTCTGTCAGATTACTTGCTTAGTTATATTTTGGGGTATCAAATCTTTATTTGCACACATTGTTTTTGGATATGAGTATCAGCAAAATGCTTAAGACTGTCTATAAATGTGGCGTCTTCTTGTTCCAGATAACTCTGTGCAGTCTGTGGTGTCCTTTGATCAGGGAGGGGAATGGGTTCCTCTGAGGAAACCTGCCGACAGCAAGTGTGATGCTACAGCCAAAGACCCAGACAAGGTAAAGAGAGGAAGGTGGTGTGAAAAATGAAAGGTACAAAGTCAGTCGTCTTGATGAAAGCTCTAGTTTATAGGGTTAGGTTGTATTCCATTGTAAGATAATAATGAATGTGTTTTGATGAAATGTATCCTTTTTAATTGCAGTGCCAAAAGGTCAAACACAGCACATGTATTGTGGCCTTTGTTATTTTTCATGGTGTTGCGTTGGTACTATAAACAGTAAGAAACCACATGCTGCTTATGTTTGTGTCTACAGTGCAGTCTCCACATCCACGCAGCCTACAGTATTGCTATGAGGCTGAATGTCCCCATGCTGCCTCTGACTGAACCAAACGCAGTGGGTCTCATCTTAGCTCATGGTAATTTTCACTTTAGAGCTTTTTTTTGGTACATAAACTGAAAGTTATTAAATTGAGGGTTTTGGTCATCTGACCATTTCTGTGTATCTCATCAGGGAGTGTTGGCGATGCCATCTCAGTGATGAAGCCTGATGTGTATGTGTCTGATGATGGGGGGTACACCTGGATAAAGGCCCTCGAAGGGCCCCATCACTACGCTATTCTGGACTCTGGAGGGCTACTGGTTGCTGTGGAGCACAGCGTCAATCAACCTATCAACAAGATCAAGTGAGTTACAGTTAAAGGGAATGGAGGAGTTTGGGTTGGACCTTTTATTTGCTAATGTTTTATATATATATATACTGTGAATTGCATGGACCGCTCCCTTTCATATGTTATTGCTTTACTTAAGTTGAATTAATGCTAATGTTTGTACCTTCTTCAATATCCTGACAGGTTTTCTACTGATGAAGGACAGTGCTGGGGTGTGTACACTTTTACCAAAGACCCTATTTACTTTACTGGTCTGGCATCTGAGCCTGGAGCTCGTTCCATGAATGTCAGTATCTGGGGCTACAGAGACTCCCTCCTCAGCCAGTACTGGATCTCAATCACCATCGACTTCAGGGATCTTCTCACCAGAGACTGTGAGTGACATGATAATATGTTTGATACAACAAACTGATTTGAATGCACTTCTGTAAATTTAGTAAATAATAATTTATTTATACATTTTGCAATGTGTTTGAGATCCTATGTAAATGCGGTCCAAAATATTGATGTTTGCAGGTGACGACAATGACTATGTGCAGTGGTTGGCCCACTCTGATGACATCAGTGACCCCAATGATGGGTGCATGCTGGGCTACAAAGAGAAGTTCCTGCGTCTCAGGAAGGACTCTGTTTGCTGGAACGGACGGGATTACGAGGTCAACACTCAGCCAACCCCGTGTCCGTGCACCCTGGACGACTTCCTCTGGTAAGACATGTGTCCCAAACATACTAGTTCTATACAACATATACTACATACTAATTATCATAGTATACTCTTTTTGCACATAGTACACAAAACAATCTGTAGACTTGATGCTGCTTTATGCTGACAAGAAGTGATACAACTCGAGCAATGTCAGACGTCCATCAAACTAAGCTGACTGCGCCCGTTTGTTACACAGAAGCATCTGGGAAGTCATTGTTGAAGTACACTATCAAAATAAAAATCTGTGATCAGATTAACCATCTGTCTATCACCATGTATCAGCTTCCAGCAGTCAGATCAATAAACCATATAATGTAGTCAAACTCTTACAGAAGCTAGTCTGGAAAAGAGTGAAAACATCTTTCCCACCAAGAAAAGCCTTCAGTGCCGTTTTTGCTCTTTTTTCAATAAAGAAATACTCTCAAGTTCTGATATAACTGATGCTAGCAGCATCTAAGCTAAGCTCTACAGGAGCTTATCGCTGTGTGACACCTAGCATCCACTGCTTTAGCTGCCTGTAGTTCCTCAAAGGACATCGATTGGTTTGGTGTCACTGTAGTTTGGCAAGATGAATTTTGTGATCTTACAAGTCCAGCTGCCTCACAGGGTTACCATCAAACTACAACTTCACAAATAGAAAGCCTATAGCTTAATAGAATGTCTGTCTTAACATTTAATACTTTTTTGTTTTACAATATCTTTTAGAAGCTGTTTAAGCATTTCCCCTATTTCCTTTGTGCATTACATTGTGGGAGAATATTATACATCAACAGCACAATGAGAAATGAACCATGTTTAGTATGCATTCTGTATACTGAGTATTCTCATTTTTCCGGAGTGGATACACTATATACTTATAACCTGCTTGGAAGTATCTATATCTATAGCATGGATTTGGGACATGCTGTTTGTCTTGTATGCTTAAACACAACTCGGTGTCTGTAGATGAGATGTCAGAAGGTTAGATTTAAACATACTTTTGGGGATTATGTACTTGTTTGTACTTGTTCTGGGTGTTGACTACCAAAATATCCTGAAGAGGTAGAAGTACTGCTAACTGGCTGTCATAGCTTTTGTTGAAAGTAAAATTACTTGTGTAAAGGTGTAAGATTGCTCATTTATAGATGCACTTTGAAACATAAAATACACTCACTTGAGGAAGAGGAAGACTCCACATTAGCACATTACAAAGTGACACTGGAAACCAGTGTGAAAGCATTTTCCATAAGTAAAAATAAAATGTGGCTTAAAACCAAACTCAAAAAGTTCTAAGCCAAACAATTATTCATATCTAGAGGCAAGAGTAAATGTAGGTTATTTCTTCCTCCCTTGTTAACCACACCGACTCTTTGCAGTGACTTTGGATACTACCGTCAGGAGAACAGCTCGGAGTGTGTGGAGCAGCCGGACCTGAAAGGCAAAGTGCTGGAGTTCTGTCTGCACGGCGAAGAGGAGAAACTACAGACTAGTGGGTAAGCCTCCAGCTTCAGTCCAGCAGACTTCTGTGTCACAATTTTTAGTTTAAAACTGGTTTATTATATATCATTAACATCAACAAATAAATGAAGATATTACCTGACAAACGGGCAATGTCTTTTTGACAAGCTGTAGGAGGCAGCAATAAATGTGTTGACTCTTTTGCTTTAACTTTACATTATCTTTATTTATTCTCTCGTGTTTTACCAGGCTTACCTGAGTAGTGATGGAAATTAAAAGGTTATTTTTGCGGTAAAAGTATTAATTCTTTATTTACAATTATAAAAACAGATACTATGTTTTATAAAGTGTAAAACATTTTCTACAAGGCTATCACCACAGACACATTTTACTGTAGAGAGACTGATAGATGATTGTTCTCAGTGTTTGTTGATGCGGATGAGGAAGTCATTGTCATGTAGAGATCAGTCAGAGGAAGCAGATGAGAGTGAGGTTCATGTTTTCAAGGAGGAAGAGTGAACGCTGACTAAAAATGCTAATGCTTGTCATGTTTGCCTCACTTCCCAGTGCACCCAAGCAGACTTAACAGAAAATCAATAATTGTCACACAAAAGATGTGAAAATCCAGTTAAAGCTTTATGTGTACTAGGTGGGGTAGGCTGATTAATTTATATGTGGGTATTTGTAGTGATGGATAAATTAACACTTGCAATAACTATGAACTGTTTTGGGCTAATTTCCAATTGAAAGAGCCAAAACAAGTATACCGTTTTTTAAATCTTAAAGGATGTAAACATTCCTTTGTTCTCTGAAGCCAAATGGACCCCAAAAAACATTATCTTGCCTATTTAAGGAAGAATCTGCATATCAGTCAACACCATGTACAAACCTGGCTAATTATCGTGCACTCTTGATTGTGTCTTTCGTTCACAGCTATAGGAAAATCCCTGGAGATAAATGTGAGGGAGGAGAGATGCCTGAGCGTAAAGAGATCGACCTCCGTAAGAGATGTGTGAGCGACCTGGTGGGCCCAGAACTTCTGGTCAGTAGTTGTGCATATTAAGATTTCTTATTCCTTTTTGTTTGTTTTCCTGCACTATATTTTGTGCCTTTACTATCATTGTTTCCTAATTGTTTGGTCTGTTGATATTTTTACAGATAGACAGTCCCTCCTCCAAGTCTGTACCCATTGTGATAACAGTCATCATCATCATGCTGCTTAGCATCGCAGCAGGCGTTGTCTTCGTCAAGAAATATGTCTGTGGTGGCAGGTTAGTGTATCTTTTTAACATTTATAGTCCGGTTCATAACCAAAGCCTGTCCACAGGAGAGCAAGTCCTTTTCTTTCACTGCACTTTATTGAGTTTTATGTGTTGAATGTATTTTTCTGTGACCTGACCGTATCTTGAATGTGCCCTGCAGGTTCTTGGTTCACAGGTACTCGGTGCTGCAGCAGCACGTTGAGGACAATGCTGTTGACGGGGTGGACGACCCGCTGGAGACCAACCACACTCACAATGGCAAGATCGAGTTTCATGACGACTCAGATGAGGTACAGTAGATACCTTTTCCTCCCTTGTACACTGACTAAGATAGAAGCATGGGTACCAGCAGGCTGTTCCTCTAAAACTGGGTCATTGTTTTGCAGTAGAATTACTAGCATACGTGTGTGTAGATATTGAGAGAACGAAAGGAGTTAAAGACATGAAAAACAAAAGCTAAGGAGGATGTTTTTCTTAGTAGCTATGATTTCTTCTTCATTAGACATCTCAGACACACTTTTGTAGAGGGCTTATGTAGTTGAGTGAAGGTTGACAAGAAAAGGATGTACCAAAATATAAATAAATAAATAAATAAAAATAAAATCTGCAACACACTTGATGCTGAGGACAGATAACTTGAATCATTGTTGTTAAGAACACCAGAGAATAATTGCTACTGTTAAATTGCATGTCATGCATGTTATTTAGCCGGGCAATGTCAGACCAAGTGGCAAATGCAAAATAGTCTGGAACCTCTCAGTTCATTTATGATTTCCAAGGGGCATTAACAATGGGCACAGACCAAAAGGCCTCTTGACACATGGAATAGACAGACAAAGAGCAATAAAACGTGTTACAAAGTTGGACCAGGGCTTGGTCTTTTTTTTTCAGCTGGAAAGAAAATGATGGCCTGCTCACAAACTTTCTCAAATTATAGCTAAACTGCACACTGAAATGTGTTTCTGAAAACATTTGAGATGAAAAATAGGCAATGCAGAAACAGAATCTTGATTCATGTTTTATCAGCAATGGCTAGTTTGACAGTTTGATCTGAGTTTCTTAATGATAGGCAAATGTGTTACAAACCTTTCAGTGCTCCCTGTACTGCAATTCCTTGTTACTTATCAGCTGACCTATATACTGATACAGAAATACATGTGAAAAGCTAATATTTGCTGATACATCGTCCCAAACAGACACCAGACCCTCATGCTTTGCAGCTTTGCACTATATTGTTTACAATGTTTAAACACAACAGCAATTTAAGAGTGAGTCAGGCATTGTAGCTTTTTTTTTTTTTTTAAACATATATTTACATTATTGCTACAAAGTTAGGACATTAACTTGAATTCACCTATAACTAGGTCAGATGAGTAATGGAGTTAGGTGTGTTTGTACACATAACCATAATGGTTTCTTTGTTTGTTCACCTGTGTTCATTTATGGCTTCATTGGCTTCTTATTTTCTTGTCTTTAAACAGGACCTGCTTGAATAGCAGGCACAACCTGTTATGCAACCGAGCAACGGGTTTCCAGTCCTCGCCGTGGCCGGCCGCTGTTCCTGTCACTCTTCTGTCTCCAGCTACTTCTTCCTTTCACCTTCTAGTATGAACTTTGGCCTCAGCTACCAGACAAAGAGTCTGTCTTAATCTGCTGTCATCTATGAAGAGTAATGAATGTACGGAGGCTTCCTGGGACTAACATCACAGTTGAGGAGAACTATGAAGAAGGTCTTGTAATGTTGTGCTTCAGTTATTGATTCTATTGATTGAGTTTGAATCTCCAAGTTATTTATTTTAGAGAATGAAGAACTGGTGCAGCAACTTGAACTGCTGACAGAGCCAGAGTAATGGGTTTTTGAAGCAAAGCTAGTTGTATAAATCCACCACCATTGCATTACGGGTCCTGCTCCTGGAAATACTTCCCACTTCTATAGATCCGTGTCCTTTTTTCACACGCATTGTACATAAACCTGCTTTTCTTTGCCATTTTTTGATGTGGTATCAAATGGGTAGGTGTTGAAAAGGTTGCTGTTGGTAGCTGGTTAAATACTCTCCCAAACCACTTGAGTCTTACTCCCTACTTTTAAAAAAGTATTTGTTGGTCAAAAAGTGTACCCCGGATGGCCAAGAGTATGTAAATTTTAGGTTTTTAGCCTCCTCCTCTGGGTACCGATTTGTGAAATCCCCTGTTGTAGTCTGTATTTGGAATACAAGCCTGCATACTTTTGGTACTCCATGGCACTGAGATCCATGGTTGAAGTAATAAGACGCAAGTGGAAATTTACCACTTGCATTTGGTTCATAGCAATAACATGTTTAGATTCAGTATCTTGTCCGTGCACGTTAACTAATCCTATTGGCACGATATCTCGGATGTGTCCAGTTGTTCCGTATGATGAATGGACATTTCATTGCGTGAAACACACAACATGTATAAGATGGTAAAGTGTCTGTTTCAAGACAGGATTTGTTCAAAAGCACAAGGTCCTTTGAATGCCTAGAGTTTGTAGTTTAACATTTTTCCTAAACGTGACCTAATGATTAACGTGATAAGACTGTCATAATCACTGTAGTCACATTCAAGTCGTGTTTATAATCATTTGAGCGTTTTTTGTACGAACAGACTTTTGAACTCATGTAACAAATGACAAATTGTTGTTCGAATATGTTCAGAGATGACAGAAATTATTATAGTTTGATAGTAAATATCTACAGATATTTTTTACATCCAATTCAGATGAATACATCAATATAATCTGATAACAGAAGCACAGGAGCAATGCGAAAAAACAATTCACTTATGTAAATGTTGTATAGCATAATTAACACTGTAGCCTGTTAGTTAACAGACATGGTTGTGTAAGACTGTTTTTTTTTATTGGTATTTACATCTGAGGTGGAGCAAATAACAGGGTTATTAAACGTTTCTCATCTGTGTCTTATACAGTTAACTGCTGTTTTCTTTGTAATCATCCTGATACTACTGTCGTTTTGGAACTAGACTGGATTGACCAATGCCTCTCAACAGATCTGTCTCGTCTCTCTTACATGTTTTTTTTTTTCTTTTTAAATGTCTGTTGCACAAATATTTGTCTGTCCCGTGTTAAATATGTTGCTTTCGTACAGGCTTTATTTATTTGTGACTAGCAGATTCTGAGTGCAGTAAATTGGATGTGGTTATACAAGTGCCTGGTGTGAGGATTTGATGTGAGGCCCTCCCAATGTGTGGCCAGCGTCTATTTACTGATAATTATTTATATCAACTTGTGTGCAGCCAGTTTCATCCAGTTTGTCAGTGACACCCCTAAGTTGCAATTGCCTAAGATGAATCCTTGAGCAGTGAAGGAATTGTCTGTTTCATACAAACTCCTATTGAACTGCATGTGTTCAATAGTATGTAAATCCACACAGCTTTGTAAAGAAAATATCCTACAATAACCTGGTTATTCACTTTTGTTTCGTGGCATGAGACTAAATTCTGGCTGTGAAACTTTGACAAGAGAGTCAACTCAAATAAAAAATACAGATTGAATACAGGGTTATTATGTAGCTGCTGTACACTGGGAGACACTCGGCGAGTTCTTATTTAATGATGATTTATTGCATTAGGTGAAGGTAACACATTTTTCTTAAAGTTTAAAACTGCTGTATAAATTAATAAGTCAATGTGATGGTTCTGTAAATATACAAGGTTACATCTTTGTATCTGCTATGTTTCTCTCTTCTGTATATTTGAGGCAATTTTCTTTGGGTTTGCCAATAAATTCATATGTTCCTCTAGTGCTTTTGTCACCGCTTATTTTTTACTTACAGCAATGTGAAAAAGGGCTGAGAAAATGGAGCCCGGAAGAAAAATTGCAAAATACCTCGTTGTGGCTGACCGATGTGGTTTACATTGTGGTTTCTGTTGCAGCCTGTCAGTCATCAGTCAATGAATACTTTCAGTTTACAGAGATCAGTTACCAAAACACATTCTGGTTGTAGGATGGCTGCTGCTGCTTCTGAAAGTACAACTTGAGTTTCATCTGTGTTCTCTACCTACTTCTACATATACATATATATTCCTGAATATACATACAGTTTATGGAAATGCAGTGAGTAAATGCAGAGCAAATTTCATAAGTAAAAGTACTAATACCTCACTGAATAATTAACTTTCATCAGTAAAAGTATAATAAGGGAAATGTGCTTAAAGTAATAAAAGTAAAAGTACTTGGCCCCTGTGACTTTTATACTATTACTTATTGTATCATTAGATTATTTTAACTCATGCATTCATTTTAAAGCAGGACTTTACTATTGTGGTTGTTGAGGTGGAACTCATTTTGAACTATTTTTACAGGACTACAACTAATGATTACTTTCATTATGGATTAATCTGCTGATTATTTTCTCCATTAATCAATATTTTTATTGGTAAAAATTCTGCAACCTTTACAATGTTTGTTTTGTCCAACCAATAGTACAAAATTCTTAATCGTTAAGAATAAATCAATGTATTAAAATAATTAAAAGGAAAAGAAGCAAATCTTCACATTATTGAAACTGGAACCATGAAATGTTTTATGTGAAAAATGGATTAATCGACTAATTGTTTCAGCTGTACCTGTACAGTATATACTGCTGGGTAATACAATTTATAATAAAAACATATTTTATAAACTCTTTGTATGTTTTGTGTGCAAAAATCTTAAATCATAATTATTAAGTAACTATTAGCTAAAGTTTTCAAATAATTGCAGTGAAGTAAAAAGTACAATATTTCCCTCTAAAGTGTGTCTTTAAGTACAGTACTTGAGTAAATGTACTTAGTTACATTCCACCACTGAAAACAAATAATAAATACAGCAATTCTTGTTTTATTTTGCCAGTTTAACCTGTACAGTAATGATCTGTTCAGGAAGTCAGTCTCATCACACATGGTACACAGGAAGTCTTCAGGTGAGTCTGTACAGAAAATTGCCATCTGCATCAAATAATTCTTTCCCAACTTGCACCACAGAGGACGGCTCTTGTCCCATAAACTCCTCAAGTTCTTCATCTGTCAACACCCATCCATCCCAGCTCTCCTCCTCCTCCTCTATGACCTCCTCTGTAGCAGCACTGTACTCTTCTCTTGATGTGGTCACCAAGGCATCTTTATTATTACCGGCTCTGAGCTTGGCGGGGAGAGCGGTAACAGGGGCATGACTCTCCGCAAGGGATCTTGAGCCTTCACCTCGTAGCATCAGAGTCTTCTCAGCCACAGGCTCCACTGCATCTTCTTCACTTCCAGGCAGGAGTACAGCTGGTGTGCTGCTTCCAGGCAGCTTCACCCTCTCTCGGCCTGCACCTGAAGGCAGCCCCTGCTGACTGAGTTCAGCCAACACTTTAGCATCCTGTCTGGCTTTTCTTTCAGCAGTGGGGACAAACTTATTCCTGAGGACTCTCAGGATGACATCAGGGGTGACAGAGAAGCCCTCCGCCAGACGCTCTACTGTCCACTCCTCTGGTTGCTCTTGCTTCAGATATCTGAAAATGTAGTAACATTTCAATTTAAGCCTCATTTATAAAATCACATGCAAGACATAAACAATTATTGAGCGTAGATGACAAAGCTCCTCACCTGATCTGCTCAATAGCATCCCAGGTTAGCTTCCTCTGTGGAGCTCCTGATGGAGTCATCTGCCTTCTCAGTATGTGATATTTCAATATCTTCTGCCTCTTTCTCCCCTCACTGAAAAACATGGGAGAGGTGGCTCCATTATCCAGACAGCATACACAAAGCATTGAACATAAAGTTATTATTTCACACTAGAATAATGTGTGCTTATCTCAGTGACACTTACTCCTCCAAGGCCTGCAGCTTGTCCTCTACATCCTCTACATCGGCCAGTCCTTCTTCATCAGACATCTCATCTCTGTGTCTTGAAGCTCTGTTCGGCAGTCTGTCTCTGTGCACATGGCTCTGTCCCATCCATACCTTGCTGGCACCTCTGCTTGCAAATCGACAGCCATTAAGAGAAGCAGAGGGAATCACTGACATTGCACCAAGCCTGGAGAGCAGGGAGAGGACCTGGAGAGATCGGGCCATGTCCACAGTGCGTCCTTTTTGGAGCAAATATCTTTAACCCGTTTTGCGAAAAGAGAAGGTCAGACACAAGTTAACTTTACAGTATCACACTTAAAGTAGTCAAAACTATCGACCATTTTACAACGTAGGAGCCACCTTCAATAAAACCTCCACAGACATGCTTCAAACGCCTTGATGAAACTCGTGGACGTACTTCCGCAAACATCACTTTGAGGACATAAAGACGGTGCGGTACTCCCACCTAGCGGAGCGGAGGACCGGCTAAATTAAATAAACCTGAAGCGAACAAACAGGGTTCACTGTAAACACAAAGCCCAATTTGATTGAGAGGCTATTTGTGTCATTAAAATGTCAAATAACGCGATAAATGCACCAGTAGAAGATATAATATATATCCCAAAGGACATGTCAAAGGGGACATGAAATATAGCTAAATGGCGACATCTGCCGGACGGCCCTGACACTGCACCCTGCTCCGTCCCCGAGTCACGCAGCTGCGCACCTCCTCCCAGGCTCCGTTGTTTCATTTGCGCCATTTTGTCCGCTCACTTTGTTGATTGGGCTTTAGCGAGCTGTACTAGAGCCAATCAGAGGGAAACCGGACAGCGAAGACACGGTAAGGGAGACCCGATTGAAGGCATTGGTAGTTGTCAGCACGGATTGGTTTGCTATGGACCAACCAAATTACTAACCCTGCTAAATGCAACAAACTCAAATGGCAGTTTGATTTCGACCGCTTCGTCCCAGGCTGCAGATAACATGTTGTTCTCAATGTTTTCTCCTGTGAGGAAACATGATCATCTCTGGTAGTCGACAAGCCTCAGCTAACGTTTGCTAGTTAGCTCAAATGTTGAATCTCGAACAAAGACACGGTCGATAAATACCAACTTCCAGCCGTCACCAAGCACTGCCAGCTAAATGATTATTATCTGTGAACAACAATCCACCTAAAGACGGCGTTACCTGTTCACCAGCCTCGGCTCTGTGCTTTCTAGCTTTTACCACGCTTTTACAGTGAGCTAGCTATAAACTAGCTCACCAAAACAGCCCGTTATAGCAAGGCGGTAGCTGACCTTACGTATATCGCCCACTGTGGGGTACACACATCGCCTCTTAATCTCATATATAACACTTGGCATATGACACAAGTTAGCTTGGAGACTTGAAGTGAAAAGGGCCGCAAATGTGTCGTTGTTTAGCGTTAAATAAAGAAAAACGGTAGCGTTAACGTTAGATGACGGGTGCAACGAAAAACAACCCTGTTTGTTTTCCTGGATGTTCAGGAAGGCTGTGGGCCTCCATGTAAAATAGGAACTCAAGTAGAGTTGTAAATTCAACGCTTGCTAATACTGTATGTCTTTCTTTTGTCTGAAGAGAGGACCTAGACAATAACAAGCCATGGAGCAGTACACCACTGCCACCACTACTACCGGGGAGCAGATAGTTGTGCAGACCACCAATGGACAGATCCAACAGCAGGTGAGCTGAGACAACACTCACATACATTTGGTTTGGATAAAGTTTGCCACACCATCAACAGTTAAACCCTCTGTTGCAAGGTCACAGGTTACAGGTACCCAGAATTAAAGCGCCCCAGTGGAGTCCAGATCCAGTCTAATATTTCCTGATAATAACTTGTCTGAGCCTGTATTGTCCTGCCTTGCCTGCAGACACAGGGCACAGTGACGGCTGTGCAGCTGCAAACAGAGGCGCCAGTGGTGACGGCCTCAGGCCAGCAGGTGCAGACACTCCAGGTAGTGGTGTCACCGCCGCCCTGTGTCAGTGCCATCATGACAGTGTTACAGCCTACCAGATTGCATGCTACAACCAGGGCTGTTTTTCATGACCCATCTCTGTGCTGTTTGGTTCATCCTCCCTCCCCCAGCATGCCTTACAGCTGCCTGAACTGCATGTCCCTCAGCACAGTGTGTTGTGTGTCGACCTTGAGTTTTCCCGCTTGTGCTCTCATGGCTGTTTGTCTGAGTTGTCTCGTCTCTTGCTTTTAAAAGCAAGTTCTGCAAGTCAGACGTTGCTCTTCCTGATGAGGACGAAAGCCATTTGAAGTCTGAGTCGGTTGTGTGTTGCAATTAGCAGAAGAACCAGCATTGAACAGCGTGGATCTATAGTAGGGCTGCACAATTAATCCAAATATTATTGAACTTGCAATATGGTTAAGTGCATTATCCAATTCACAGAAGCTGTAATCTTTTTGATAAAGCACAATGTGTGACAAAAGGGCATTATAGTGAAGCACTGTAAAGCTGCAGAGATGCCCTGGCTTATAAATCTTGTTCTCCAAATGTAAGAAAACATGTTTGTTTGGTACAGACCCCAATAAATGTTTTTAGAAAATTAGGATGTAAAAATTATCATTCTGACAAATTGTGAATGATATCGCAATCGTAACATTGTTCCCAGATCCATAGTTATTACTGGCTGTCACTTCTCATCATCTAACTATATTTTTCTCATCGTCTTGTTTGGAAAATGTCAGCGGGTTCCTTCCCTCTGACATTTTTCCCTATGATACAACTGCTGCCACAAGCTTTCAGTTGTCCATTGTGATCACTTGCTCATCTATGGATGAAAGTCTGACCATTGCTACTTTACGTGAAGTTGCATATGTGAATGCAAATTAATTTTGATGGCAGTATATTTTCTAATCATGTGCTTTTTAAGCAAATCAAGTTGAAATAAACATGTAACCTCTTGCTTCAGCAGCAGTATTCCATTAAGGACAAAACCAGTGAATAGAGGTTTTGTATTTTGCTAATGTATATAGGCTACAGTTTGGATCCACAATGGAACGGGATGGTTTCATGTTTGTATATCCCAAAGCAGAAAGAATGACAGGAAATCATCAAATACTTGTATCCGTGATGTGGTATCCATGATGTTCCTGATTTGACATCATTTGCTTGCAGACACACGTAAGTAATATTGAGGTAACAAACACTTGCAGTGCTGATATAACCGCCATCTGTATCTCTCTGTAGGTCCAGGGACAGCCTCTAATGGTCCAGGTGAGTGGTGGGCAGCTCATCACATCATCAGGACAACCCATCATGGTGCAGGCCATGTCGGGGGGTCAGGGTCAAACCATCATGCAGGTCCCTGTATCTGGAGCCCAGGGACTACAGCAGGTAAGGGATACGGTTCAGGCACTAGATTAAGATCTTTATTCAAATTGTACCACATTATCCCGTACAAGTACACAGTGTTCTTTATATTTAAGTATGAAAACCACATTGTGATTTGACTGTTATTTAATTATCAGTTCCTGTAACTGTTTCTGTTGACAAATGCTTCTTATGCTTCTTTTAATTATGTAGTGATAGAGTGTAGGTGTCGTTACTTTTTGTGAGGCCATCTAATTCAGAGTGTCAGAAAATACGATTCTTTACAGTATTTATGTCACTGTAGTTTAATGTAAATGAACCACTGCTAGGATATGCTGAATCTCATTGAAAAGTGAACCGAGTCAAATCTGTGTGTGGTACTGTGTCCATGTGTAGATCCAGCTGGTGCAGCCAGGTCAGATCCAGCTGCAGGGTGGACAGACTCTCCAGCTCCAGGGCCAGCAGGGTCAGCCCCAGCAGATCATCATCCAGCAGCCCCAGACAGCCATCACGGCTGGACAGAACCAGGTGTTTATTTCTGACCGGTTGAGTGGCAAATCCATTTAATCACACAACTATTTATGTGATTACTGAGTGTCTTCTCTCCTTACTTGTGGCCCCACAGGGGCAGCAGATCAGCGTGCAGGGCCAACAGGTGGCACAGACGGCTGACGGACAGACCATTGTCTACCAGCCTGTTAATGCAGATGGTACCGTCCTGCAGCAGGGTAAAGTCAATTTTCTCCTATCTTTTGTGTTTGCTTTCTGCTTTGTAGACTTTATAATCATGTGCACTGTTGAGTTGTCTTCTTGAATAAGAATTCTGATGGTAATCTATTTGCAGGAATGATCACAATTCCAGCTGCCAGCTTGGCAGGTGCCCAGATTGTACAGGCAGGGGGTGCTAACACCAACACTACTAACAGCGGCCAAGGCACTGTGACCGTCACCCTGCCCGTCTCTGGTAACATGGTCAATGCAGGTGGAATGGTCATGGTAAGACCCTGTGCAGAGGTACCGCATATCTTATTACCTTTTTTTTTTTTAAATATAGACTTACACAAGGGTGTGCGATGTAGCGGAAGAGCTTTTTTAAGAGCAACAAATTTAATCATTTATCAGTTTATAATTTTAGTGCTAATTATAACTGAGAGACTGTAATAATGTATTTATTTTCTTCCTAGTAGAGTCATATTAATTATAATTAATAATGTGGTTATACTTAATTATGTTTTTTCTGAGTTGGTAAATTGTGTCAAAAAGCTGATCAAATTAACCATGAAACTACACACAGTTTTGAGTTTTAGTCTAGTTTTTAGTTCAGTTTGTTCAACCATGTCATTTAATTCAGTGACTGTTACTATGTTTACTTAATGCCCTAAACATCCATTGTCCACCCACATAGGTGTTTTCACTTATTCAGCCTGAATAGACCTCTTTTAAAGACTGTATGGGTGTTTACAGACTGTGTTTGATTGACGTCTCCTTCACCTCTACTGTTCATGTTGGGGTGGGACAACTTGAACCTTTATGATTTTTTTAAACCGTTCAGGCTATTTGGGGATGCAATTCCCAGCATAACTCCCCTTGTATAGAATCTTATATCTTTTATGTATTTATATATATATATCTTATATCTTTTTCAGCTAGAATGACTGAGAATACCTCTATGGGTGTGCAGGGCCTCTAACATGAGACCTTAAATGTGCATTGTGATATACACTGAGCAGCCATAACATCATGACCAATGACAGTTGGGAAAAATTGTGATGATGACGACTGGGTCAGACTGGGTCAGAGCATCTCCAAAATTGCAGCTCTTGTGGGGTGTTCCCGGTCTGCAGTGGTCAGTACTGATCAAAAGGGGGCCAAGAAAGGAAAAGCAGAGAACCGGAGACAGAGTCATGGGCCGCCAAGGCTGGTTGATGTACGTGGAGAGTGAAGGCTGGCCCGTGTGGTCCGATCCAACAGACAAGCTACTGTAGCTCAGATAGCTGACAAAGTTAATTCTGGTTCTGATAGAAAGGTGTCAGAACACACAGTGCATCACAGTTTGTTGTTTATGGGTCTGCACAACACCTGGGCACCCTGGTTGTTTTAATGTTATGGCTAATCGGTGTGGTACTTTATGTTAGTATTGAGTAACAGCCTCATTGATGCATTACTGATGCAACTATTTGCTTGTTTGTGTCAGTACGATGACATACATGTATGCTTTCCTTGCCTGAGCCCTTCTAAGCACTGTGTACCTGTTTGTGTGTCTCCCTCTGTCAGATGGTGCCTGGAGGTGGTGGAGTTTCCACAATGCAGCGTATTCCCTTGCCAGGGGCTGAGATGCTTGAGGAGGAACCTCTGTATGTCAATGCAAAACAGTACCATCGCATCCTAAAGCGAAGACAGGCCAGAGCCAAGCTGGAGGCTGAGGGAAAGATCCCCAAAGAGCGGAGGGTAAGCCCTTGTTCCTTTCTTTACCAGCTACACGTTTATTTTCTACCATTTAATGCAGCTACTCATTCTGTATATCATATTTTGCTGTGAATGTAGCTGTCCAGGAGTTCCAATCCTTCCACATTACAAGGAGTCATTAATTCAAGGGAAATATAAAGAAAATCCCTGATAAATATTTTAGAAATTGCAAAAAATAAATAAAATCGTATTTCACTTACCGCTAGTTGTATAAAGCCATATAAACTCTGAAAAGGATATCTCAAAAAGTGCCTTGTTTAGATCTCGCGAGAGGCAAGAATTAAAATGGGCTTAGTTTTTTGGGGAGTGAACTTTCAACTAGTACTGGTACAGAGATGGCACAATGCATTCACACTTTTAAACTGGCCATAATCCAATAACTCCACTTTCACTTGGGCAGAAATACCTACATGAGTCTCGCCACCGTCATGCTATGCAGCGTAAGAGAGGAGATGGAGGAAGATTCTTTTCACCTAAGGACAAAGAGGAAATGGCTCTTGCCCTGGCACAGGTAAGAAGCTGCGTGTAGAAAAACATATTACTGACTCAAACCTGTAAATACGGTTATAAATTGTCAACAAAGATTTGTTTTCATTTCTAATTTGTGTGAAATTTGCTGCCAATTTGTTGAGATCTCATTTAAGAATGGAATGAATAGTTTCTCCTCCTCTGGCACAGCAACAGCAGGATGCAGCCCAGGCAGCAGCAGATGAGTCGGTGGCTCAGATGATCCGAGTCTCGTAGCACTGTCGCCAAACATCATCACTTCTGCCTGTGAACTCTACCCTGCCTGAGATTCTTCATCCCAGCTAACCAATCTGCCGCATGTTCTCCTCTCCCTTTTACACCCTCCTTGCCCCACCGTCATAAACCAGACCGCAGCACTGCCACTGGGTTTTTTCTGTTATCTCCCCACTCCTACACTGGTCTTCCAGGGAGCTGGCCATGTGGCCCGCTGAGCCTGTGGACTGCTCAGGTCTTCTTTCTGTCAAATAGAGGATGCTTCCATGGTCAGCTTAACTGGTCGAGCACTTAGGACCAGCTTTTTATTTTTTCATATGGATTTGTTTGGACAATAATGAAACATGAAGTCATGGGTAAACGGGGCTAGTAACACAGAGGAAATGACAGCTGTGAAGCCATACTCTGTCAGACCCTGGTCTGTTTAAAAAAAAAAAAAGAAAAGAAAAAAGAGATTTTGTTATTAGTGGATTCTTGTTGCTTTAAATATTTTTTGTAAATGGTACAGATTTTTTTTCAGAGACATTCATTTAAGCGTGATGCTACACTTGTGTCCTATGTCTTTTATGTGATTTGACTTTTTTTTTTTCAACCCATGTACTGTGGGGGATGGACTCAAGTCCAACCTGTGTCCACTGAGCAAAAACTGAAATGTGATACAAATGTGAAGATATTGTACAGAAATTCTTTTCTTCCCCAGTGTGTATCAAGTGTATTTACTAATTTGCCCATTTCTGTGGATGCATTTTATACAATTTCGTGGTTAGAGATAGTGTTTGTAAGAATAAATGACTCGGTGTTGCATTGTATTTCATATACTCTCCATGTAGTAACTTCTTCACTGGTGTTAAGTTTATTTCATTGTAGATAATTGTTTTTTTACCCATCAGATGCAGTTCTGCAATGTTATTTTTTTTTTTTTATATAATGAAAAAAGGTTGGACTTTGAATTGATGAAACCTATGTCCATTAAATTTTATTAAGTGACTCAAGGTTATTTGTGGTTACTTTACTCCCAGTCTTGGTTGGTTTACACTTTCATTGAAGATATCTCATGACTTTCATTCAGAACCTCTGGGTTTAGTTGTTGAACACTTTGTATGCTTCTGAGTAGTTTATTGAGCAATAAATCATAGTTGATCATATTTTTTTATTTTCTATGTACATTTTAAATACAAAATTCAGTGGAATCAAAAGTACAATAATTACTGTTACAGTGTAGTAGAATACAAGTATGAAGTAGCATAAAACAAATGGTCAATTAAAGTACAAATATTTCAGTATTGTTCTTAAGTATAATGTACTAATAATGAGTAAAGCTTCTGGTACTTGTAATGTTACAGTTGTACATTGAGGAAATTATCGTTAAGACAATTTGTTACATAAATAACATAGGAACAATTTAATTTCTGGATATGACACAAATAGATGAAGATATTTGACCCTGAGCGAGACTTCCCAGGTTAAACACTGTCCCAGTCACGCTCAGCCAATCAGACGCAGTAGATTACTGACGTCGTTACCACGGCCAGCCAATCAGAGCGGAGTAGGCGGGACTTGCACGCAACCTCCTAGCAGACTCGACTCAGGGCCGCACAGATTCCTCTCCGATAGAAACAGCGGCGTCTGACAAACAGTAACGATTAAAAACTATTGTATTTAACCCAAACGAGCGCCATGTTACACGAGTAACGAGCCTCAGCCGTGTTACCTCTCTCCGTTGTTGTCCTCCTCCGCACCGGCGCTGACCGGATGCTCACCGCCCACACTGCCCACTTGCTCAGGTGACAGCCTCAACAAACCGCCCCCTCCTCTCGGAGATGTTGCTGTCTGTGGATGACAGCAGACCCCGGAGGACCGAAACAAGCATCTGTGCCGCTCTTTTAAAAAGTAGTGAAGCCCGGAAACAAGGTTAATCTCTCTTGAAGCTGGCTACTTATCGGCTGAGGTCAAGTGGAAGTGCTTCAGCGCCGTTTCGCTCATTTTAAAGCCACAAAGCTTAACGGAGAGAGCAAGGAGACAGACAGACAGACAGACAGACAGACAGACAAAGCTACCGTCGGTCTGAGCTCTATTCACAACTGGCTTCTTTCCTCTTTCCTCCACTAACACTGTCAAACACCACCTGAATGCAATGACCGACTCGGTTGTGGACAGCAAGGCGGAGGTTAAACAAGCCACGAAATATGTCAAAGAGACCGAAAACGTTGCTGAGAAATACTCAGCGATGACTGTGAGCAAGAACAGCAGTGATGTGAATATGAATGTCGGGGAAATGCCTTCCGCCGCGTTCACCGCAGTACCCACTCTTAAATCCGTCAAGAAGGTAAGAAACGTGATGCTCGCCATCACTCACTGGGGGCAAAGACACTATATGTGTGTGTGTGAGTGTGAGTGTGTGTGAGTGTGAGGAGGATAAATCCACATTGGTACGCATTGTACTGCAGTGAGGTACTTCTACTGTAAACCAAGGCCAGGCAGAGTACTGTGTGTCTGCTTGTGTCCGTGTGTGTGTGTGTGTGTGAGATGTATCCAGTATTCATAGGGCACATCTGCATTTAACAGCAGAGAGTATTGATGCACTGGATGGATGTGATGCTGCAGTGTCACATATAACAGTCAGTGTATGTTACAGCCATCCCACTGAGGGATCACTGCATGGGGGGGGAAAAAGTATTTACTGTTTAAAATAGAGTAAAGAATCCGAGAAGTCAGGCCACAAAGACAAGCTTTGTTTCAGTACATGTCTAATCATAGCTTATACTATGTTATTACTCATGTAACAACATATAATTTCAATAGAGCTTTTCATCAAGGCGGGATTATTGTTCAAAATCTGCCCTCCTGTTTATTTAAATCACAATGTCTGCATCACGCCAACATCCTGTAGGCAGGAAACAACCAAAAGCCAAGTTGAGCTCTTAAACCTCTGATTCAAGACCTCTAGCAAAGTGAAGAAATACACGGCCTTACAAACCTGGGCTTAGACAGGGGGTCTGCACACCCAGTATTAACTGTGTAATGAGCTGCAGGCTGAAGAATGTCAATCCGTCATGAATTGCAGTCACACAGCTTTGAATTGTTTTGAAGGGTGCACGGTTGTGGAGATTTAATTTATACCTTGTGAACTCATCCTTATTTATGATATCAGTCTTGGATTTGTTCTGTGTGTGTGTGTGTGTGGGCATCATCATTGTTAGTAATAAGAACAGCGTGATAAAAAATGCATCAGCAGCACAGGGTGCACCTGTGAGAAAAAAGGCCTTCAGTTTCTTGGCTGTTACACAACATACAGAACAATCATCAGACTGAAAGACTCCCTTGAGGTGGCGGCTCATATCATTACAGATCCACCACCGTGTGTAACAGCTGGCAGCAGGCAGTGGATAAACACGGAGCACGCAGTGGATTGAAGGCTTCTTTTTCTGTTACACTAACTAACCGGTTCAGGTGTTGGAAAGAAAAGACTCACGGTGAACACTTTGTACCCAGACTGTGTCACAGAGTCTCTGGGACATTGATTACATTGTATACAACCTGAATGTGAAGCCCTTCTCTGTCCCTCAAGGTGACCTTTAACTTGTGACCATGGTCCTTCTTACCCATGATCCAACAGTGTGTATTGATATTAGGGCCTCATATATAAAACAATATAGGTAAGTATACTGGCAGGTATATCAGCAGATATCTTGATCTCGTTATATTTTAATTTAATTTAAATGTATTTTACTACGGTTTTATTTCCACTGAGGCTGTGCAAAATGTGTTGTCTGGCCTCATAAATTCAGTTCTGTTTCTGTTTCTACATGACGCATTAAATGAGTGCTTCTGACTGCTGCACTTCATGTAACTTTTAAACCTCTCATGCAGGAGAGGTTGCCTCGTCTCTTAATGCTGTTTGTTTAATATTGCTCATAATTCCTCATTTACACAATTTGGGATGTTTGTGGGTTGTTTGCACTTCTGAATGTTGCCTCAAAAACTAAATTAAAAAAATTAAACAAATTATGATAATGATAATAATGATGCTAACCAGACAGAGGTATTGCTGCGTTACAATAACTATTGTCTGAAATCATGTATAAATCAGTATCCCTGCCAGGCAACTAATCACAAGCAGACCAGAATTTTTGGCGACTAAAAGACTAAAAGAATATAAACTATGGGCGCTGTAAATTACTGGACGTCCCTGTATGCATTACATCTGTTGCAAAGCTCGTCCTTATGTAACAGTGCTTAACTGATTAAATGTCCCCTGTTAAACAAACTAACAAAACGAATGCAACCTTAAGAATCCCAGTTCTTGAATGTTTCTCAACTAAAACAAAATTAAAATGTGAGATTCGTCAAGCTTGTTTTTACTAGTGGGCTAATATTTTATAATGTATGGTGTACCATTAATACTACTAGTCAGTAGTGTTTATTCCAAATGAAACGTCTTGCCTGTGTAGCTGCCTTTGTGATTTGATTGCACCAGAGTTAAAATCTTTGGTGTAAGTATGAGAAAAGATGTGGACATAATAACCAGAATAATAAAAATATCTATTTTCCCAGCAGCGGGGCTCACAGACTTCAGAATATTGGGTCGGACCCCCTGTCTGACGAGGCAATAATGTGTGGACCGTGAGTCGCCTCAGGGAGCCTGATTGAAAACATATTGGATGGTAGGAATGTTCACTCTGCTTATGAAAACAAAAGCAGCGAATAAATGTGAGAGCCCTGTGTCAAACTGAGCCACCTGTTTGCATGGGGGGAAAAAATGAACAAGCAAATCCTGCAAATGGAGAAAAAAAAAGAAGATAAAAATGTATTAAAATCCTTGATCACAACATGAAAAAGTAGAGTTGGATGTGTATTGAACCGAGGCTAGTGCATTGCCACATAATCAACTGAAAGGTGCCATGAACAAAACCAATCAATGCTACAAATTAAAAATGAAATGAGGGTGTGTCTGTGTGTGTGTCTGTGTGTGTGTGTGTGTGTGTGTGTGTGTGTGTGTGAGAGAGAGAGAGAGAGAGACAGAGAGAGAGAGAGAGAGAGCGTGTGGGTGGGTGAGTCAAAGAACAGCCACAACTCTGCCTCCTCTCTCTGAATCCATGCAGCAGTTACACAATACACCCCTCTGGGAAATGGGACTCACTCACTGTGAATTTGTTCATGCATCATCATTTCTATCTGATTCCGGTGGGCTGTTTTGCATAGATTCTCAAAAGTGTTCCTAGCTTATTTTCACTACCTTAATTGTGTTCGTCTGCCAACATTATGGAAAAGTTTCCTGAAGGTCAAAAGCCCCGTAAACACAAACGTAATGACATCAGAGTAAGTTGAAAGATTTTTATAATCACATAATAAATGCGATACTGATAAAAATAACACTGATAACAGTTCCTTTCTAGTGCTTATTAAAAGTCAGTCTGCACTAGTCCACACAAGTAAAGTACTGTGTTTGTACCACAGTGTGACCAATATTAACATTGAGGGAAAAGTCACCATAAGCTGAGAAATATAACACATCCATACTGACTAGTTCCATCCTTTTCCAGCTGTTCTCAGTTGTGCCTTTGGTTTCTAAAAAAGATCCTTTCACTTTAACTGCTTTATTTGTTATCAGCAACCTGGCTTTCTTAAAGAATCCCTCCAGACATGTTTTGAGACATACATTCAAAGAGTGTGCTTGGAACAATAATGATGTGTTTCCACATTCAAATCCTTAAAAAGTAATCTTCTCCTTCTGCCTCATTAAATATTCAAGAAACCATTAATATGCAAATTAGTCTCTAAAGTTTTCATGTTGGACACAAGATGTCTCCTGTTTCACTGTAAAATCCATTCTCAGTGTATGTGCACTGGTGGCTTCAAGTTTCTACATCACACATGTGAAGGTTGCATACTTGACCTATACTTGACTTACAAACAATTTGTGATGTCACAAATTATCCTCGTAGCCCCCGCCCCTTAAAATAAATTTTTCAGTGAGCACAGAGAAA